GAGGTCAGTGACATTACTGTAGTATGTATATAATACATATAATACAATATAAAGTATAATATTATAAATATATAATAAATTATATGTATAATATGTATTATTTAATGTTATATATAATATAAATTAGTCACGTTATTTTCACGTGTTGTTTTTCTACTCTTTCCTGTCACGTGACTTTAGTTACGTTTAGGAAAAGATTATTATTACGAATGTTTTAAATTGTTTTCCTTGTATATGATGAAGTATTGTTTAGTATAAACTCGCGATTTTCTGATATTATTTCAACTTTATTTCATTTTATTTATCAGAGACAGAAAAAGAGAGAAAAGTAATATTTTAATAATAAATTTGTAAATAATAGCCTTTATGGTCATTTATTTATATTATAAAGTAGTAGTAAAGATTTTTTATTTATTTGCAACTTCTATAATTTCGTTTTGTTGTTACTATCGAGACACATAAATGCCTTACAATAACGTACAGTAGCTAGGTCTGAGTATAGCGCAGTTGTGAGAGTAGTCGCTTCGGAATGCGGAAGATCCGGGTTCGAATCCCGGTTCAGGATATTCTCTTGCACTTTTTCTATCCTATTATATCTATCTTATGATTGATCTTATTCTCCAGAGCCTTTCCAACTGATCACACGGGTGACATCGCCTAAAAGAGATATCGTCGTGCAAAAACCGCGCACGACGTTTCTCGCGAGCTAGAGAAGGCTCTAATCTATTCTATTGGTTTGTGAAATGTATCCATATCTAACATAGTACTCACCGAGAAAACATTTCCGCCAAGGTTTCCAACGGACGGATTCTTTCTGTTATTTCTAATGTGACTAATTGACAAATTGTGTTACATTTAGAAATTCGATTAGTTCGAAAATGAGTGGTTCTAGTTTCCTTACAATTGTAAAAAATTGTTCTTGTTTTCCTTTACAATTGTATAAAACTTCACCGTTCTTACGAAGGTACCGTTTATTACAAAACGGCGACATTGAAATAGTCTGCAAACAATTCTCAGAAAAAAAAACGGTTCCCTACATGCGGAACAACATTATTTGTGCAAGATCCCTGAATAGCCTAATGGTTAAAGCGATCGCCCGAAAAATAAAAGACTGAAACTTTACTTTCAGATACTCAGACTTATTTTTTTTTTTTTACTTTTTCAAAATAAGAAGACATTATTATTTTTGATAATTCTTTTTCTCTTTTTTTTGCGCATATAACTCTACAACAAGTAAAATTTGTCTAAAAGTTAAATATTTTTTTCTTTCTTATAAACCAAAATTCTATACATCAAAAATGCAATTCTATACTAAAAGATAAACTCCAACGTTTTGTGTAGAATTGTATTACGTGTGTGTGTGTGCGCACGATATGTTTTGTAACCAAACCTTGACAACATATGATAAATGAATCATTTTGATTGTTAATTTTTTTTTCTTTTTCTTGTTCAAAAGATGAAACGACAAAACTCGGAAGTATTTCGGAGACACACCACCATGTAAGTTATCTCGAACCAATTCGGAAATGTTAGTAAGAGCTTGTTTAATAAATAACGATGTAATAATAGTAAATACAAGACATATATTTTCATTAAAAAAAAAAAAAAAAAAAAACATTGCATATAAAACCATATAATTTTTTTTATTGATAATACAATTCATTCGTTTCATAAAAGAGACAATGTACTGTCAATAGCAAAGTTTATATAGACAAATTATTTTTTTTCTTATTGCTAGTTTTTTTTCGTAAATATATAATGACCTTATGAAGCACGCAACGTACACGCACAGTGATGCATAAACATTATACAAAAGGCCATTATAAACGAAAGCTAACCAACTGCTTACAGTGGAATGCTTTTTGAAACAGGCGTGTCTAATTTCGTCAATTCGATTAGACAGGTTTGTTTCAAGAAAAAAAATCTGCACAATAAATCGCTTTTATATGTATATACAATTATTTTCTATCCACACATAGACGGAAGAACATTGAAATTGTGAGAAAATTTATAACACTATTGTACAATATTGTACACATTGACTAAAACGCGACTTGTTTGACCAACAACAGAGAGAAGTAAAACAATAAATCAACATGCAGAGATTTTAGAAGATCTACGTATGTTTGATTTATAAGATTGCAATATATTTTTTCTTTATAACAATATTATTTGCAGGAAAATATTTTTCTTTCGTCCATGTGTAGCGCGCAATTAAGTTAATTATTATCTTATTTAAATGCTAAACAATATAAATAATAATATTTTGAGCTTCTGTATAAGATTTTACAACTACTGTCTAAAGTTTGCCATTTTGCCGATTACATTGTTTTCTTATATGTTTCTTCTCTTTTTTCTTTTTTTTTTTTTTTTGTAGGTTTTGAAGAATTTACATCAGAACAGTCTGTCAGTCTCTTTTTTTCATATCAGAGTGAGTTGTATAAATGGTGGTTTGCTATTAATTGTAAATATTAACAGAGCCGCTTTTTTCTTCTTCTTATCTTCAAGCCATCCTGATACTCTGGATAATTTGAAACACAGCTGCAACACAAAATGTGTACAATTTTTAAAAATTAAGGAACACTTTATAAGAATCTAACAAGTTTTCACAGAAAACATTGTTGTGCTGATACATACCAGATCCGCAAACAACAAAGAGAAATAGAGCTAAGAGCCAAGGTCCAACAGGCGACCCTTCTTCTTGCGATTTCTAGAGTAACAAAATTTGCAATTAGTTCGACACAGTAAAAGCAAATGCAAAAGAGTGTCAATTAACAGAACAGAATTAAACAACATGCTCGTGTACATTTTAATTATCTTTGACACTTTTATGCAAACAGATGGAAAACCATATGGTAGACTTTATCATATGTTTATCATTGTGTGTAAATATTTTGTTGTAAAGTCACACCGTCGGAGATTGAATATATTTCTCAAATCAAACAATTTTAATGGAATTAATCTACAAGTGAGAGAGAGAAAACAGAACATTCGACATTGTTCGACAGTGTGTGTCTCACATAAACAGTTTTCTATAACCTTAAATTTTTGCACGATACTCGCGTGTTTGCACAAATGAGCAAGTAGCACACAGTTGAAACACAATTGCATCAGCATAAATTTCAATTGGACACAAGAGCGTTCTTTTATTTTACACGTGGTAACAACTGTAATGATTCATACGCGAGCTCTCGATAAAAAAGAAAAATATAATCCTCAAAACATAACAGATCTCGTCACGTAAAATTCTTTATTATTTTTTTAAATACAAAACAATTCTTTCGAGCTTTTTACGGATCGGATCAAATGAAAACGATCGTCGTCGCAAATTGTGACGGGATCGCTCGTGACAGATGGTCGGTGGTGACAACGAATACATCAAACAACGTGGAACTCACCGATGATTTGGGGACGTTTCCTCGTAATGTTATGTTTTTTGTCGCCTTCTCGTTGGCGATGCGCATCCTCTGTTTCGGCGCCATCGTTGTCGGTTTCTTCGTAAATTCAAATGTGAAAATTCAGTCGCGATCCGAACTCGCTGCGGCGATCACCACCGTGTGTGCGTGTTTCCCCGTATAATCAACGCTTTCGAACGCGGTTTGCTCCGACCCGGTGATGTTCGTCGACGTTGCGCCGACGTATGCGCCGTGGCACCGATGACATGTGAAGTTGCGCGACAGTCCCTCGTGCCACACGGTCACCACAGTGATCAACTGACCGATTTTTCATCGTCCGCTCGTGCCGATTAACAAATTCCCTGCGACACTATCGTGGCGTTTGTTTGTCGATCGCGATTATGATCACGCGAATAAAGGTGTAATGACGGGCAGACAAAAAATTATTAGAATATTTAACACATGGGAACGAGATCGCAGGCGCGGGTCGAGCGCGGGAAAATTTTGAAACTTCTCTACGACGTGAGAGGAGAAAAAGACTGCGACTGCACATCTTGTACGTAAAAATTTTATATTTGTTTCATAATCGCTACGTCTAACAACAAATCGTTTTTATTTTCTCGAAGATTTCCACCAACATTAGTTACGCGATGAAATCGCTGACAATTACTGCTCTTATCGTGTTTAATTATAATTCGCGAATATATTATCCATTTTTTTTTTTTTTTTGGTTTGTAGAATGATAACTTATTCGTTTTTCGAGAGACACAGCAACCGTAATAATACGCAATAGTGTGCGGGATTATTTCGTGCATGTGTATCGCAAAAATCGCGAGTGAGAATTTTGTTCGAAACAAAAATAGAGGTATAAAAATATATATATAAAGAAAGAGAGAGATAGAGAGAGAGGAAGAGAAAGAATTAGACAATCGCGGTATAAAGAATTGTAACGTAAAAACCGAAGATTTTTTGTCGATACACATGCACCACGACTTTCGTTTCTTATCTTTGAACTACGTTTCTAGTCTAAAGATAAGTTGAGAACTCCTGCCGAGTAAAAAAAAAAAAACACCTCTGACACACCATAAAAATTGTAAGAGTGACATCACTATTATTTCTCACGTAACTTGCACATCATGATGAAGTTGCCTTACAAAAACTACAAAATTAATAAATTAATTACCATCGACGCATTCTTCTACGTCTAAAACTTATCTCTCAAATTCTCTATCCGCTAGAGATCGATCGAGGAAAAAACAGTAAATTTTGTATATCGTTTATCGTTTTTTTTTTTTTTTTTTTTTTGTTGTTGATTAAGCTGGGGGAGAGGGAGTTTTTACAAATCGAAGTCGGGTCGAAGTTCTCGAAGTTGTTGCGCACGTGTGGGTGGGTGACGGTTCGATCGCACAATTATTTCTACGCCGAACAGAACAGGAGGTTTGTTTACACATGTAAAATATCATCGCGATCTCGCGATCTCATTAACGTGTGTCCTAAGTTATTTAAATGCGACTGCGAAGAACTCTCTTCGTACAATCGCGCGGACTCCCGAAATGGAATTCGCAATACACTTACAATTATACATTTTTATTATTGACAAAAATAACTGTCGTAATACGCGCACTTAACTAGTATCAGTAGGATCCACTTACAGCACATCTCTCTCTTTTATTTACCTGCTCGCTAGCAAATAGCAACTCGGAAAGAAAAAGAAAGGATCAAACGAATGTGTATACGATACGTGGATGGATAAGAATCTTCAAGTATATCCCAACGGAAGATATATATCTGGTACGACGTTGAGGAGACCGTTGGAAGAGTAACGCGTTGAATGACACTCATACACACATGACGCGGGGGGAGCCGCTTCTATAACGTAAATCGAAGATGACGATCATCACGGAGAAACAGAAGAAATGGCGAACTCCCAATGCAACGTGACGTATTCATCGGATGGAGACGGACGAAGAAAATGAAGAACCAGTGTGTTCTCTCCAATTTTGTCGAGAGCAATGAACATTGCACATTGATACAATAGATCGCATCGTCGTGATGTGCGAACGATACTTTTTTTTTTTTTTTTTTTATTTAGTTGCACAATGATGTTCGTTTTAGTCTATTTTGACCGTGGAATATATCTTTCGCACGAATGCGTTGGTGCCTATGTACCCGACGGTGCCGCACATGATACCCAGAGCCAAGCTGAACAACGCCATGTAACCGAAGTAAAATGCCGTTTGGAAGAGACCGTACATTCTGCGACAAAAAAAAAACAAGAAACATCAAAAACAAATTGTTAAGAGACGAAATCACAAAATTTTGAATTGCAACGTTCACTTACTTGGTTTTGAAGAAGAAATAATAAAAGGAATAAATATAAACGTAACCGGCCGTTGAAGCTGCCGCGAGAAAGCTTGTCCACTGCCTGCGAGATGAAAAAATAGAATAAATGTTTACGCGTTTGGTGAGAAGTGCGCAAAAGATCGAATATGAAGCGAATATGTAAGCGAATAAACTTACCATCGATAGTCTTCAGCGTTCAGCAAGAAATATGTACATACAATAGTGACGCACACCGTCACTATCATGAGAATAACAAATACTAGCAACATAAAGCCGTAAACGTAATAGATCTTGTACGCCCAGAATGAAGTAAAAATGAAATACCTGAAAAATCGAATCGTTCAACGTGAGATCATTCAAGAGCATATAAACTGATGAAAGATATGCGTAACGATATAAGACCCGTACATTTCAATAAAGATTGAGCCGAAGGGTAAGATTCCACCGAGCATTATGATAACCAGTGGTTCCATGAACCACTTCTTCTCCGGTATCGGTCGTGGCACCGCGTTCACGCGACACGGCGCGTCCGGTGTTCCCGCGAGATTACGACCCAGAATCGTACCTACCAGCGTCAGCGGTAATATCACAAATATGCAGATACATGTAACCGCAACCTGTAACACACACAATTGATGCGAATTATATTAACTCGGATGATAAATGCGGAAGATAGAATCGATCCGAATCAAGAGCAATCACGTACCATAGACGCGAAAGGTATCGCTCTGCTGGCGTGGTAATACATGGCAATAAAATTGATAAAGAAGGCGGTTCCGCACACCATGAGCGGCAGCATGAAAGCGCTGAGGATCATCTGTTTGATCCACACGCGCCCGCCCATTCGCGCGTAAAGTCCGCCGCCTGCGTAACCGTTTATGGGCGACGTGGCGGAATACATAAATATCGCAGTTGACAGCATCGATCCGCGTTCTGTGTACAACTCACCAAGGATGGCGAAGATAATTACACTTAGCACAACCACTGTTACCTGTACGCAAAAAGAAAACATAGCGTGTCGATTCGTCGTTAAAATGTGTGTTTACTTTGCGCTTGTTTGATAAAATACAAGGACGTCACATACACACCTGGTAACCCGCACCTATAAGAGCTGAGAAAAGCATAGCATGACTCGCAGGCCTGAACACATCTCCATGAACTTGTTTCCAGCCGTATTCGTCGCCCAAGTCTCTCTCCATGTCGTCCATATCTTCGTCTCTGCTATATCGAGCATAATCCTTTCTCAAAGTGCGCATTAATATCATGGACACGAGTCCAACGAGAAAGATCACCATCATAAAACTATTGAAGATGCTGAACCAATGTATCTAAAAATAAATGATTACACGTTATTGCAATTTACAAATTTTACAAACTCTCAAACAATCTTACTCCGCGTCAAACTCACTCTGTGCTGAAAAAAATTAGGATCCAGATATTTATCGAATCTGTCTTCGAATTTGGTAGTACTCTCTTTCCAGTTAACCTCATAACTGAACGGGATACGTGCACCTTGCACCAACTTCACTTTATTCTCACTTGTCAAGTTAACGTCTACTATTTGATTACCGTTGTATCCGATATCAAACTTTTTATGTGTCCAAATGTAATAGGGATCTGACACCGAAATCCCATCGTTGTTTTCTACTTCTCCAACGACACCTACAAAATATTGAAATATGTGCGTGAGACAAAATTCACATACGTACAACAACAAAATAACTACTGATAATTAATTACCCCATATTGGTAAATCATCAATGTACATTTGATACCAATACTGGTTCTTTATTGCGTAAACAAATGCCTTTTGACTTTCTTCATTTAAGCTTATCTGGCAGTATTCTGTTTTTGAAATATCCTCTGAAACATTTATACAATATTAAATATCCTCTGAAACATTTATACAATATTACACACAAATTTTGTCATTTCTTTGTCTAAATCATCAAAACTGTCTGAACACGTGTGTATGTTGTTATATCAATCACAAACATACTCACCTTTGAATTGAATATCCAATCCACTGAATTTCAATTCAATGCCTTGCAAAGCTTCCGAGAGAGTCTCGTGGTAGTGACTGATGACGTTCTTAGCACCGGTGCAGAAAGGTAAGGAGTAATAAGAATACGTCTCCTGACGATTGTGATATGGTCCTACGGTGCTCATCCATAATACAACTTCATCGCCATCCTCGTACTGAGAAACAGACAGGTTTTGATTGATGTAATTGCACTATTGGTCCATGGTTCAATGTTTGTTATTGTCAAAATTTTTTTGAAACATATGAGAGAAAAATGCAACGCGATCAAATCAAAAGGAAAAAAAATACGTGACGATGGAATTCAAAACAGCGGTGAAATTAGACACGATAACTGCTAACACGTAGATCAGATAGAGAGCCGGCTTATCATCATTCCACGATAGTAACGAGAAGGAAGGGAAAAAGAAAGATGACGCAGAGAGAAAAAGAAAGAGAGAGAGAAAGAGAGAAATTCACGAGCGCGCGACGTTTGGCCTTTAAATGCCAAATCTCGCGAGGTTGCGTTAGTAAAATTTCTGCGCGTACTACTAACTAGTAACTTGAAAAAGAAAACAATTATAAAATAATGCACGACGGTGAATCATATACTCACAACGTGATTGTGCTCGTCGGCACGAATTAACAAGGGAAGGAGGCTAAGCGCCAGAAAGTACAGTGACAATCGTGTCCGATGCATGTTTACTCGTTCCGTGAACGGGGAAGGAACGCCGTGACCGCGACCAGTCGCGTCCTTTACACATACGCACGAGCCTGAGATCCCACCAGCGCGGCACGACGACGGCGGGCAATCCCCATAGATTTCGTAATACGCGCACGCCGAGCACACAAGGTTCTCGCAGTGCGTCTAGCAGAAACACCGGACACGCACGCAGGATGGACGGACACGTATCAGGAGCGCCAGGAACGAATACCGAAGGTGATGGCGCATCGGAACGAGCTTCGCCCGTCGCGCCGTCAGATGACGTTTGCGCGACGATCTCGGTGGGACGATCGCGCACGGGATAATAACGATTTCGCGATTCAATTCAGCCGATTAAAATTAAAAAAACCGATCGAATCGATTCGATTTCGACACGTAATTTTACATATCGTCGATTTATCGCTGATCCATCACGTTCGGTCTCTCGGTAAAATGTGATTGTACAATTGTCGCGTAGAGAACTTTGAGATCTGACGTTGTGTACGTAAAACGTGTTGTTGTTTATGTACCTTTCCATCAACAAGAAGTTTTCAAATTCTGCAATTTTTGCGGAAGCTTGAAGCTGTGTGTCAAGAACCGCATAAAGTAAAGTGCAAAAACTTTGACGCAAAATAAAATAGAATGTCAGGCCCAATGGTTTTGTGTCAACTATGGATGGGTGGCGTGAGTATATATTCGATTTAGAGATAATAAATTAACCTCTTCCGAGCGCGACAACTTCGAATAATTAAAAACACAATTATACGATAATTTGAATTTACAGTTGGAGCCGTACATGACCGAGAGTTTTATTATGAACGCATTTCACAAGATGGGCGAACAGCCGCAAACGGTTAAGGTAATGCGCAATCGGTACACCGGGGAACCCGCGGGATACTGCTTTGTGCATTTCCCAACCGATGAGATGGCCCTTGATGCTATGCACAAGTTAAATGGCAAAATGATACCTGGTTCAAATCCTGTATGTTTGAAACCTACATTTTCTGAACATTTAATGTTAATTTCTTGCACAAACGTCGAGTGTTTTGTTGTTCTAATAAGCGATCTGATGTATCTTGCAGCCTGTGAGATTCAGATTAAATCACGCGAGCACCACGGGAAAGCCCGCAGCCGAAAGAGAGTTCAGTATTTGGGTGGGCGATTTGTCCACGGATGTGGATGACTATTCCCTGTACAGAGCGTTCGCCGCAAAATACAATTCGATCAGAACAGCCAAAGTTATATTGGACAGCTCCGGATTTAGCAAAGGTTACGGCTTTGTCAGATTCGCAAACGAAGAAGAACAGAAAAATAGTCTGATCACTATGAATGGCTACAGAGGACTCGGGACGAAATCCCTAAAGATCTGCAACGCAGTGCCTAGACCTTGGAACAAGATGTCTGGGTACGTGTACGTACAACTGATTAGAACATCTATCACAAAAGAGAAAAAACATAAAAGTTTTTTAATTGAGGTATTTTTAATAAATGGTCTTTGTAATATTTATAAATTTACTTGTACAGTTCAACCCCACCGCAGTCAGCTTCCGAATACCCGACGTCAAACATGAATTCGGAAGCATACAATTATTACGACACGTCGTCCTATTGGAACAGCTACAGCGCTTGGCAGCAAGGCTACTACGAGAGTGAACCTACGTCAGAAGCGTACAACACCTACGTGTCAGATCAGAAACCTGAGGAAGACGAATTGGAATTGATTGGTAGATTACTTTAAAATTTCGTTTGCAACGTAAAATCATGTTTCTTTTTAACAAACTCTTTTAACATTTTATTTGTATTTTTGTTTGCAGAGCACTCAGTTCCCCTTGACATTGACAAGGCAAACAGAGAAATTATCGAGCAGGATTACAACTTGTGGGACGCTCTGGAAAGCTCGAAATGGATTCCGTGTGACACCATAGAACTGTGTTATTAATTAAGAGAAAAGACCAAATATATAATCATCTTTCACTATAAGAAAAAGTAAGATACTATCGCAAAATATATTGTGTAAAATATAAAAAAAAAAAAACAAAAAATATATTAATATTTTTCATGTAATCAATTTCTGTGATTTAAATTTAAAAAATTTATAAATTATTTCCAAATAATTTAATTTAATATTACTGGATAATCAAAAACTTATACAGTCGTTTTCAGAGAACTGTTGTCCGTTGATTTAGATCGTTTTTTCTTCACTCGCTTTTTCACTTTTTCTTTTGTTTTTCGAGCTTTGCTCTCTTCTCTTATTTGTTGCTGAGCGTCTTCTACGTTGTTTCCTGTCTTTATCGGTGGCACATCGTCGTCGTTGTTAGTTGCCGTCGCTTCTCCAGATTCTTCCTCATTGGCGGACAATACTTCGCACTCTCCGATGCTGTCCGCTACCAATCGATTTTTAAGTTTTCTCGCCATTCGTGATTGTTGTACGGGTTTATCCGGTACGGTTTTGCTTGCGTCCTGAACATTTTCTAGATTCTTCAACATCGCCAGCTGCTCCTCCAACATTTCGGTGTCAAATTCCTGATGATACTTCAGAGCTTTCTCGACCAAGGGACGATTAACTCGCTCTTCTTTTTTATACTTTTGCTTGATCTCTTGTCTGGTTCTGTTCGGAAAAAGAGTCTGCATCAATAGGAAATCGGTGCCCACTACATTTAAGACCTGATAGAACTTGAATGTTTCCCAATTCGGCCAGTCTTTGCTTCTCTTGTGCTTTTTGTAAAAACCGCCCATGTGATTGTTCTCGTCCTCGATGATGGCTTCGCTCTCCATTATTTCTCGGCGTCTCTTCTCGTGCGTCTGTTCGATCACGAGACTTTGTTCGTCTATTATCAACTGACCGTCGGGACCTACTTTCACTTGCGGCGCCGGTATTGACGCCGGATCGTCCTCTTCCTCCTCTTCCATCCGTTCTATCGATCTGGAAAGAAAAACGAGATCCACAAAATACAAATTCTGCTAATATTTATTTTTTTTTTTTAACGACAAAGTATTCAATGTTTACTCACTGAGATACTGTTTCCTGTCTCTGCACCGTTGTTGACTTCATGGGATTTGTAACAGGATTGTAATATATCAAATCGTACATCCTCAACTGGCTTCTGTCAGGTGTTTTATTTTCGTGCTTCAATAAAAATTCTCTCTTCGCCTCAGCCAGTTTTCTCGCTGATTCTGAAATAACCATGCGTCTCTTTGGAGCTAGTTTGATCTTTGGAGGTAGTAATGTTTTCGAAGAAGATGATGTTTTTGACGGAGATGCTGTCTTTGCGGGTGATGCTACATTTTGTTTTTCAACTACTTCTGCTTCCGGTTCTCTCTCCACTACATTGATTTCGTCTTGGTTCTTCTCAACAGTCTCCTCTATCGTCTTTATCACATCCTTAAAAGTTTCTTGTGCTGGCAGGTCGCTAACAAACGCGTCTTCTTTCTGTTCGTGTGTATTTGCAATATCTTTGATGATTTCTTGTTCTGTTTTGACAGAACTGGGTGTGTCTTCTTTTTTCTGCTCCTTATCGGACACGTTGCCCGTATCGTCAGAAACTACATCCTGCGTAACCGGTCCGGATTTCTTCCGAACCGGCACAGCGGCCAAAGCCTTGATTCGCGCTCGGCGCATGGTTTATTTTGAGTTAAAAAAAAAAAAAACCGTTTACAACAGAATCTATAAATCTGAAAATGAAAACCAATTAATTATACACAGAGGCGATTCGTAAATTTTGTTTGACTTATGAAATCTAAATTCTCACGGCGATTACTTTCAAAATGCGAATAAAAAAATCAACAAATTTCATGATATTAATAAATTTAATAAATTATTCATTTTAAAGAATTCCAACTGGGGCTAGAGGTGAGTCAGGAACTGAATGAAATAGAAGTTTTAATTACGCCTCAAGTGATGAATTGTTGTATACACGTTTCTCACAAAGAAACACATGTCGCGTATGTTTATATTAATAGAAAAAATATTACACGTGTTTTATACACACATGTTGTTCGTCCGTGCGACTTGACGAACTCTTGCGCTCACTTTTGAGGAGGTTAGGTTAGGTTAAGACACATTGAATTATGTACACAGCACGTATATAACATACACACACATGACACATCGCGTATACACACGCATACATACATGACATAACCGACACTGAAGGGGGACGGACATGCGCTTTTTAAAAAAGTATATATCGAGAAATATAAAACTCCGAAAGTTTACTCCAAATTCGATGCTGTATATTTTTATAGCGAAAATATATATAATATGTATATGTATTGAATGTACATGACGTAAACAACATATAAATTGCGAACAAAATAACACACGTGTAGTGTAAATCACATAAAAAAAGTTTATTTTACAAATATTTATCATGATATCTTCCTTAATAAAACTCGTGCCCTAGTGACTATCCATAAATTGTATATCCGACAACAAGAGGACTGTGTTTGGCAACGGTCTAGGTTGCGGACTGAGCACCGTGAACGTCTGTCTCTCAACGTCCACATTCGTTCTGCGAAATGTAAAATACTATATGTATACGTACATCGTTAACAACAAATATATGAAATAAAAAATGTATTGTCAAATAGCATACTAACACACAAACAAATCCAGCTACGTTAGTTTGTACAACATCATCCTCAGGAGAATCAGCGAACGAAACGGATAACAGATGATGTAGCAAACTGGGTCCCGGCGTGACAGCCACCAGTTTCGTCAAATTGTCCTCCGCCTTCATGCCCAAAGGCATGCAAGACGCCGGTAAAACAGGCGCTCCGATTTTGTAAAGTCTGGCCTCGCTCCACTTGACCTCGAAGCTGTGAGGATACAACGGCGTTCGCGAGCCGTAAAAATACTCTCTCACGCTCTGATCCCTCGCTTCCGTTCTCTGTGTTTGACTTCTCTCGACAACTCCGCCGCTCTTCGGCAAGAAAACCACTTTTACAAAATCCGGCATGTCTCTCACCAGCTCGTTGTACAGTCTCTCTTGATCCAGCACTAAAATCGCGTCGATTTCAAAAGCCTGTGCAGCGTGCGTGAGTATCTTGTAACCTTGACCTTTGATCCAACCGCATGTGTTTATGATGATTCCCGACGCTTTGGCTTTCTTGTTGGCTTGCAATCTGTCAGAACAGACCTCCGCCAACCGTGTTACGAGTAAATTATACAATGCCAAGTTGGACGATGGCGTTTTGTGTCCGAAGTGGAAGACCAACGGAGCTTGCTGACTGAAACCTTCTACTACATTGGACGGTCGTTCCACTAGTAAAGCACCAACTGTGCCGGGGATGGCTATGTGTCCTTGGCCAACGTCAAGATCGACAAAAATTGGCCTTCTACCCATTCTAACAGCATAATTTAACAGAATTCTACACAGTGTGGATTTTCCAACATCGCACGGACCCACAACCATTGTTATTGGACCTCTGGTGTCGTCCTTTTCTGCATTCTCTCGTATCCGTTCCATCGCTGCGTGACAATTCAAATACAAGCCCATTGGTGTTTCTTTAGCCACGTAACTGACATCAGTCTTACCGATAAGCTCGACAGTACAACCCTGCCAGGTGTAAACAGCGACTTTTGCACCAGCGATAAACTCATATTTTTTTCCTTTTACCAGTTCCGTCCCGAAAACCTCTGCAAGGCCGCTCTTTAACTACAATTAAAAATAATTTTGTTAACCTCAATGTTAAAAAAAAAAAAAAAACAAATTAGACAACTAAAATAAAAAATACGCTTTGTTTACCTCTAATGTAACTTTCTCATTTTTGCTCTCCACTTCGAATCTCAATTCGCAATCTGGATCCAGTTTAAATTCTTGAACCGTGGATTTCTCGTCGGTCATTTTTGTAGGTTAACAATTTATTGATTGTGTAAGAAAAATAGTTAATTTTAGCAGAAAAAAGAATGAGAGCGGCCAGTTCCAGCCACAGTTCCGAACTTGTGTTTAAGGTCAATTTACAAAGTGACCAATGCGATTTTAGACACGGCTTGTGATTGGCGACCATTTTGTAGATTTTCATGTAAGACGCCCGTTCTAGTAACTTTTGCTTTAGAACTAGGTGAGCGGCGCATAGGGTCACACCAGTTAAAGTTGGCAATCGTGATACGTATAGTGATTATTTACTAGTATTGTGAAAAAGTGCGCATCATATTTTTTGCTATTTACCGTTGACAGTTGAGGTAAGACGCTAAACTGAACAATTATAATTTAGTTGCATTATCAACGTTTTATCGTTGTTTGTTGCATGATGCGAAGAAGTACTTAAAGGTATTGGACAATGGCCGCACGTAGAAACGCTGAGAAACGCACTCTGAGACCTCGTACTAAAGTGGCAAAAGCGAGTGGATCCACTCAGAGACAACTTAGGCCGAGAAAAGTTGTTGATAAGAATCAAAACACAATAGAAGAAGCGTTTAAACGGTCTTCTAAAAATGCAAACCAGCGACAACGTCGCTCAAAAGAACAAAAAAGTACGCAGAAAACTGACGAAACTAACAAAAAATTACCTATATACAAAAATATAAGTCCTGAGAAGTCCTTGGAAGATCAAGACAGTGTTTACGAGTTTACATTTGATCCTAATGATACGCAGGAAAGGATTCCAAAGAAAAAGAGATTGAACGCAAAAAAACGGAAAAAGGGAGATACTAAAACACAGAAGAATGTTAAAAAGAATAAAAAAAAACGAATTGACACTCACATTGCGGAAGATAAAATTTCACCTTTGACAACACTTGCAAAGCAAACAGAAGAGCTAAGTATTAAGAATGTTGAAACAGAGAATATTAAAAAGGAGAAGAAAAAACAAATAGACATTCACACTGCAGAAGATAAAATCCCAACTGCGACAGAACTTGCGAATCAAACACAAGAGGTAAATATAGAAAAAGTTGAGACAGAAAATAGTGAAAAGAAAAAGAAAGAACAAGTAGACATTCACACTGCAGAAGATAGAATTTCATCTGTGACAGAACTTGCAGAGCCAACAAAAGATCTGACTGTAGAGAATGTTGAAACAGAAAGTACTGAAAAGGAAGGGAAAAAACAAATAGACATTCACGTTGCAGAAGATAAAACATTATCTGTGACAGAACGTGCAAAGCAACTGCAAGAGCTAAATACGAAGGATGTCGAAACAGAGAATACTAAAAAAGATATTAAACGAATAGATGCTGCAGAAGAGAAAACATCATTCGTCGCCACACCTGCAAAGCAAAATGAAAATCTAAGTACACCAAAAATTATATCCATTGAAAATGTAGATAACATGATAGTTAATAGAATATCCAGCACTGACTTTCGTTCTCCTCTTCGACCGAGAAACTTAGTTAACAATACAATTGTAAAACGCGGGGATGATTCGAATTATTTGTCTTTGACAAAATCTTTGTCGCCTATCTCGAACACAGCAAATGTTGCAAGCATCGACAGTCCGTGGCGACCTCCGACATTATCGATGTTTTCCCGAGCTAAATACTTCGTTCAAAGTACGCCGATAGTGCATTCCAATATAAATAAGAAATCATCTAAGGAGGGAAAAGAAAACAAACAAACGACAAAGAAGAGAGAGTTCGTGAAAAAAAACAAAGGAGCAATAAAACCAATCAAAACGCTTACGGAGCAAGAGAACCGAGAGAACAAGTTCTTAGAGACAGACAATGAGGATCTTCAGATAACGAACGGCGAAACAGTTGAGAAGCGAAAGGACGAACGTCTTGCGGAAAATAAAGAAGATAGCAAAATATCTGCGAAGGAAGAGAATAAACATCTTATAGACTATCTTAACTTTTCCGACACATTTGATGTTTTATCCGAATCAGAAAAACGATCAACCTTTGGGACTGAGATTCGTTTGTTCGAGGATGCCGAACCCACACGTTTTTCAGAGGTATGTATATTTTACACGTATGTATAAATTTTATTCAGCGTAATCGCAATCCATTCGTAATCACAATTGTGTGTTCATATTTAAATGCTACAGCCGCCCAAGCGTTTTTACAAGAGAAAACGTGGCGTGAAAGTCAGTTTTTTGGAAGAAAGCGACAGAGAAGAGGAAAATGCGAGAGAAAACAAACGAGAGACAAAAAAGAAGAGGAAGTATACGAAAGCGGACAAAGAGAATGAAAAAAGAATAAGCGATTGGATACAAAATGTTAACAGTTCGTTTGAAGAGATCGACAATTATGATTTGCTCGTAGAATAGTTCCTGCAAAAGCATTTTTTTTTTTTTTTTTTTTTTTTTTTTTTTTAAAGAAGCATTTTTTTATATATTTCACACCGTCATTTGAGGTATTCTGAAGGTTCTTTCTTAAAGATCACTAAATCCGTATTTAACTTTTATTATTTTTTTTTTTTTTTACGATGTATTTTAACTATTTAAAAGTATCTTATATTGTCGTAATTATTTAAAACAGCTTTTTATTCGTGTGATTTCGCACTGTTGTACATATGTATGTGGAAAGATATTTTATTACTCAAACTATTGTATGTGGAATGTAATTCTTGTCATACTTTTACTCTAGAAATCTTAGATTCTAAGAATGGTATTCGTAGTTATTTTTTTTAAAAGATCGTATCATTTATATGTATATGCGCATGCATATACGTATGAATTGTGCAGAATTGTGACGATGTTAGATAACATCGGACTACGAATACCAGCAGTACAACATAAGACATTGTTAAAGATTGGATAAGTTTATATATGCAACATAAAAATGAAAAACTATCCTAAGTATTATATAAATTGTTTATTCTTATAAAAATTTATGGTTTTTCACTTTACTGAAATACATTATCGTAATTATATATAGAAAAAAAAAAAAAAAAGGGGTATACACACAAACCACAGATTACAATAATATTACAGAATAACAATATTATCGATAATAATACAAATAAGAGATACAAAAATATTAATATTACAAAGTACACCTTCTTTTAAGAGTATTGATTAGTACAAACAGAAAAATCGCACGTATCTATAATTGTAGAAAGAATATATTACTATTTCTGACTTCGAGAGTATTTGCTCTTGTACAAATATGAGATTTTTTTAAATATTAAAGCGACTTTTTTTATATTGTACTTGGTTACCAACCATCGTCAGACGCATCAGATAGATCGGATACCTCAGGCAAGCCAAGGGACAGCAGATCGGTCTTCTTGTAATCGTCATTAAAGCATCTATCAAGTTTTGGAATTTCTAAAACAATGGGTGGTCTTGAATCTACAAAAAAAAATCGAGATGAACGTTGAACGTACGAGTACACTTGGTGTATATGTGAGAGAAAACTCGATACCTGACTTAAACTTAGTTTCTTCCGTTTCTCTGTACGGCATTATGTTTTCTTTTCCCTTCAAAAGAAGTTCTTTAAATTCATTTTCTGCCTCATCAATGTATCCATAATCTATAAAATCAAATTTTTTTTTAAATTAGTATTTTCATTTTAATTTTATTGTCGCTTTATCTACAAACACGACAGTGATCTACGTACCGAACTCGTGCTGATCGTCGTACCAATGCGCCAATTTTTCTGGATAAGGAAATTTCTTGGTGATACTTTTAGACAGCAATGGTGTCTTGAATTTGGTACTTGACATTGGTGTTGTCTTTGTACATTTACTATTTGTGATCTCTTCTTTCGACAGAGAATTATGTTCCTTTGGCTTGGACGATTGTGCAAGTAACTTCTGCCAACAAGAGCGGTATAAAATTTTTTTTTTTTTAATGACAAAAAAGTAAAAAAAAATTAATGCGCAACAAATTGTCACATTTTACCTTGGTCTCTTTTCCTGGAGATATTGGACATCCATTACTGTCTATTTGTGTTACTTTCAGCTTCTGACAGTCCTGATCCTTATTAGACAATATGTTTCTCTTTGCGCTGCTTGAATGCACACGTTGAGATACGTTCATGTCAGAATGGGATCGTAACGACAGTCCCTTTGGTTTGGCACTTTCCATGCCTCCTTTATTCGGTTTAAGCTCATTGTATGTTTTAGATCTTACAAGAGGATTTGTTAGTTGTTCTGCAGAGAAATTGAAAAATTGTGATTTTCGATAATTATTCAGAATCTCTCCCATGCTTTTGGAATATTGTCATATTAGAATAATACAAATATATTTTACTTACCTCTATCGGAATCACCAATCGTATCCAACAACTTGAATATGCTGGACATTTTGAAATTTGTTTTTTTTTCTCGCAATTCAGACTCTTCCGATTTTCTCGTCTCGTAGCTGTCACAGATCTATGCTATAATGTTTTTGTAATTTTTTTGTAATTGGCACGCTGTCATAATCTCTCTGGTTTCTTTGATGTTCGAAGATGTTTGAAAACAAGAGCAACCGTTTGAGCGAGGCAAGGATTTGTGTTTGTGTTCACAACGCGTTTGAGATCTCGAATGAAAAACAACGACCAATCGAATTCGCACAATTCAATTGACCAACCAACGCGATTGGTCAACGATTTCGAAGATCGTTGTACGGCTTAGATCTTGGCTGCAAAGTTGTTTACAGCTGTGCTGCGAGATTAGGTTTATGTTTGTTCTGACGAACTTTGTCAATACGCCGCGTAAACGCGATAGTACTCAGTGACAAACAGAATGGAATTGGATCAAAATGTCGCGCAAGGTCTTTTAACTCAAGGTGCCACGCTGGTCTTGCTGGATGTACCCGTGGGCACTGACGTTGGCATTGATCTCAAGTCCTGGAATACGGGAGATAATTTTAAGGGTATCAAGATGATCCCCCCGGGGGTTCATTTTGTGCATTACAGGTAATGCGAATGGCGATGATCTTTTATAAAAATGTCTCTTAAACACATACGTTACACAATTTTGTTTATTGAATAGCCACCGCTTTGTGTTCACAGTGCGGTGGATAAGTTTGGTGAGATGGCATCTAGAGTTAGTTTCTTCCATGATTTTAAGAAGTGCGAGATCTTGGTGAAAAAATGGGACAGCAAGGAAGAGACCGTCAGCTCAGAACGTAAGAAGACAAGTGGATTGTTAATAAATATTCGAGATACTTGCTTTTGTCATGTAATGTCAAATGTTCTATATGAGATCTTCAAACAACAGCTGTACCCGAAGAAACTGTTCAGAGATTGAAGGATAATATAAAAGAGCTGGACAGATATTTAGGACCGTATCCGTACGACATATGGGAACAGTGGAAGAAATTAACAAACAGAATCACCGAATCTGTTGTAGAGCGATGCTCACCACTGTGTGGGTGAGTAAAATTATTCTTCTTCTGATGTGATGTATCGGTGTATTGTAGAACTGGAGTATTAATCTCTATGCATTTATTGTTTTTTTTTTTAGATTTGTACAATCTGCCTTGGAATTGGAGCACTGTAGCGACGCCTCAAGACCACGCGGTGGAGAATCCAGCAGCAAGAAGAGAAAACCTGGTAGACGTACAGCGGAGAATAGAGAGGACACTTTGTTGCCGGATCTGAAGCCAAAACCTGGCACAGAACTCAGACTTACGGAGATACCGGACAAGCAGTATCCCGACAACGCAACTCCGAGCGAAATAACACAGCATTCCCTTGACACCAGTTACGCGCTGCATACCTTTGTGAAAAAATTGCGGGAGTAAGTTCGAAGATGTGTTTGAAAACTAAAAAGAAGGATGTTGTACAATCGATTGAGATTTAGTGCACGTGAGTGCGATAAAAAACAGATGTTTTTACGTACGTTTTTTTTAGGCCTGTTGAGATCATCGGAGAGATGCAATTGACATTCGTCTGCTTTCTGGCCGGCCAGAGTTTCGACGCTTTCGAGCAGTGGAAAGAACTGGTGTCGTTGATTTGCGGCGCGGACAAAGCCATTTCTCAGTATCATTCTATTTACACCGAGTTTTTAGAAGTTCTAGAAGTCGAGTTGTTGTACGTGCCGGAGGAGGTGCTGTGCGATATCGTGGCGAGTAATAATTTCGTATATCGCAATTTGTGCAAACTATTCGGCAACATCGAGTCGAACGCGGAGGTGGACGGCCGACTGAAGTCATACGCGAAACGTTTGCAAAAACGATTGACCACCAAGTTCCAGTGGGACTTTTCGAATTTACTCGAGGAAGCGGATGACGAAGCGCCTGTAATTGTCGATCTCGATGACACGAATGATTAAATTACAAAATCGAATGTACATATTCTGATTGTGTGACGCAACTTGTAAATAATAATAAATAAATCGTTAGAACTTTTTATATAACACGATATTTTACTGTGTTACTGATCTTATTGTTTTTCGATGTGTAAGTTTTTTCTTTACGTTTACAAAGTTTCACTAATACAATATATTACAATAAAAAGAGACGACTTTCGTATTGAAACCAAATAAAAAATAAAAAATTAAATCAAAAATAAGAATGAAAGTAAATCAAAGATGAAAATTAATGACAAAAAAAAAAAAAAAAATTAACTGTGTTTCCGCCCGGGATCGAACCGGGGACCTTCCGCGTGTTAGGCGGATGTGATAACCACTACACCACGGAAACACTTGATAACCGTGCTCTCTATTAAGTCACATCTATTGAAATCTGAATTTAAATCATAATACGTATCCATATCGCATAAATATTCTAAAGTAAATAAATATAATATTGATGAGGTTTCGCAAAAAATTCTTGCAATATAACAAATCGGATTTATTTGTTTTTACAAAGTGATATGTATATTCTGAAAATTTATTAAGTTTTACATTTTTATGAAAAGACACTTCAATGTAAAAAAATGCATAATGCACTAAAAGTTTATTTTCCACCTAGACAATTAACATTTTGTCATCTATATTTTGTTGTATTTTATTGTTTTCCTTGTGTAGCACGACGATGTCGCTAAAAATCACAACGTTAATGTCTGTAAGTTTATCTCAGTGACATACGTGATAAATAGGGAAAAAACAAACTGTCGAAAAATATCGAAACACTCACCAAAAGGCTGACCGTCGGTATCGATGCGGATTCAATTACATTTTTGTCTATCGATGTAATTTCAATATTCGGTGGTACTATGGGTGGTGTAACAGAATCAGTAGTAGTACGGAATCTCGAGTACTTGATAATAGGTCGTACTTGATATAGCCGGCATAAAAACTCATCAAACTATCATGTAAAAAATATTGTTATTATCTGATCGTTTGCAAAGTAAAATTTACGTTTATTTGTTTATAGATGTAGACTAACCGGGGGTAAAAAGAACGGATAAATTTCTACAATTGGTTTTGCTGAGATTGTCACAATTACGCAAAACATAAGCAAACCTATCGCCAATGTTTTCATCTTTTTCTGTAATCACATGTATAATATAAATTGTTATATAAAAGTAAAATTTATGTTGAAAGCAAAAAAAAAGAACAAAGCTGCCATGCTGTCAAGTAATATTTAAACATGTGTTCGAAAGTTTGTAAAATTATGCAAATTACAAAAAACTAAAAGCAATTGCAAAATTTATGAATTATCTAATCTAGTAATTATATTACTTATTAATTAATAGAAATAAAATTATTGTGTGATAACAAGAATTCTTCGTAATTCACAATTTGCACGAATTTACGCAACTTTTTTTTTTTCTAAATAAACGATTATCTTACTTCTTCAAACGAGCTCCTCCGTCAACGAAAGCACTCCCGAGATAATTTGAGAAAAAGTCGTTTTACTGTCGCCTTTTATACCATCGAAAACGTTTGATTTTTAACTTCTATTCGATAACTCTTCTCGTGACCCGTAATTGTTTTTTTTTTATATATGACTTTGCGTAACACTTGCCCTTTTGACTTTTCGACGCGGATGATACACGCAATATTTATGTATGTCATTTTTATGCGGAATATTTGGCAAGACGTACAATATACCGAAAATTTAGTCCAAGAGCGAATGTTCAGCGAATATTCCCCTAGCAACAATTTCTCGTGAACTTTTTACACGATATGAAAAAAATATTTTTTATAATAGATGACATGTACGAAATGTATCGGAACGCAAGCTCTGCTCGAACATCATTTTTTATTATGTGTTGAATAACAGCAGACATGACAATAAAAAAAAAAAAAAATAATAAAAAATCAAAAGACAAGATAATCTTCAATTATTTGGGCGCAGGAATGGCCGTTTCTTCGAGAGCTTGCTTCTCTCTGGACAGCAGATTGATTTTCTCGCCGTATTTCTCGCGAAGACTCTGAAACAGAGCGAGTTGAGTCTCGTACTCCTTCTTCAGATCGGCGTTGAGTCGCATCGCCGCGTCCATCTTGCTGATCATCGTGTTGTGCCGATCGCGTTCCTCGGTGATCTTCTTCGCCATACTGTCAACTTCGGTCTGCGCAATAAATGTATTTAAGAAATGTGAGGTCCGCAATACTGTCATCAATAAATTGCGCGCCAATTATACTGCGCATTTTGTGTCAATTAATTATTTGATTTAATATTCGACTTATACATCTAAGTCGCAAGTTATCAATATATTTCAAAAGTGTAAATTCTCGAATATAGTTACGTACTTGTAACTGTTTGACCTCCACATTGCGAATCTCCAGCAGATCTCGCGTGATCGACACCACTTCCTTCAACGAGGTTACCTGATTGTTAAGAGCGTTGATCTGATTCTCCTGATTCGCGACCATCCGATTTCGTTCCTCGTACATCAACGCGGTCTGCGCCAGCTGGCCGCGCAGCTGTTCCACCGATTGTTGCAGCGCATTCTCGTTGACACCCTCACGACTCGTCATCGCGTCGCAGGACGTCTGCAAAGCGGCCAGCTTCGTTTCCGCCTCATCCAATTTCTTTCGATAAGTGTCGCACTCCTTCGTTCTCTCCTGTTGTTTATAAGAAATCGAAAATTATTTACAATCAAATATTTGTGTCCATATGTGCCAGAACTTTTTTTTTTCCCGGAATGATGTAAGCGTTGGAAGATGACTTGGGAAATGACGCGATAAGGAAAGTTTTTTAAGTAAAAACGCAAGGATTTTAACTTCGTTACGTGGAGACGATTCATTTCTCACTGGACAATCCAGGTTTTCGAAACGTTTTCTCACCCGCACTTCTGCCTGCAAACCGGATATGTACGTTTCGTTGTCTCCTGCGTTCTGTCTACACTGGATATACACAAATACAAAAGTAATTTGTGATTAATATGATAAATATTAAATTTCAAACAATAACACAAAAAAAATCCGTCGATCAAATTTATTTGTCGTTTCTTCTTTACCTTGTCTTCGCTCGTTATCTGTGGCGCTTCTTCGGGAGCAACTGTGTTCTCGACTTCCTCCGCGGGCCGGCTATTTGTCGCCGAATTCTCAGCTGCTGACATCGGCGTTGCCGCAATTTCTTCTGTAGACGCATCTTTTTCCGATGCCGCATCGTCGGCGCATTTTGTTTCGACGGCCAGTTGTGAGATCGCGGCGGTTTCAAGACAGTCGGTCTTTTTGGACGCGTCTCCGTCGGACGTAGAAACCGATTTGTTCGTTTCGGACATCTCTCTTTCTTCCCGCAGAGACGATGAGAAACTGATGAGAAAAACAAACAAAAGAATGCAAGAAACGGCCGTTAACTTTCCGACACACGTTGTCGTTTTCGCGTTTGACGTTAGAAGTTCTCTTTATATTCGGAAGAAATAAGACGCGTGTTATACAACTTATTGTTATACGAAGTGTGTCAACAAATCTTCCCGAGAGAACGTGTATCTTGCTCGGAACTAACTTACGCCCTACTGTTAACCGGAACGAGCGAACATCACCGACTAAGCATACGCGTGAAGTATTTTTGGCTGTTCACTATTCGTTCTATTTTCAGCCGTGTCTCACTATTGCAGTTCAATATTTTAAACACGGATTTCTCTCATGTGTCGCGACAACACTTGAAACAATCATTTTTATAGAAAAATTGTTATTTTTTTATACTTCTCACTTGAGAAAGTTTTTTTTACCGTAACATGCAATTTACTAGAAAAAAAAATTAAATCAAGGAGAGAGAAATAAGGAGCCAAAACCAACATGAGATATTTGTGCGCAGCCCTGAAGGGAATAATTCGTACATCAACATATTTTTGTTTATGTCCATGTGTGTGAGTAACGTTCGACTTGCTGATTTCGACCGTAACTCGATTCGTGTACAAAAGACGCGGGTGAAAACAAATCTCAGAATACATTTATGTACAAATTATCGTGTTTTTTCTTTTATTTATACAAATACAACAAATCACACACCGCATGTTTAAATCACACTTAATTCGCAACCTTTCTTTCTGTTCTTTAAGTGCGCCTCAACTATCTTCAATAGCTGCGGCCTCTGCAAATGAGTGTAAGCAATGGACAGCATGTTCAAAGCTCTGCTCTGAACGTGAACGCCACCGTTCGAGAAGAGATCGTGTCCCAGCTCCAAACAAGTACCGAAGTCGCACTCGTCCGCGGCTATTGTTGCCAATCTCATGATTTCGTCGAGCTTCGCCATCGATGACTTCCTCTCATCCGGAGTATCCGCTTCCTCTATCTTTTTCAATATCTTTTGCATATCGCCTGCGAAAAATTTCACAAGTTAAATTGTTCACTGGATGAATATTTGAACAAGTTCTAAAATTCGCGATCCAAGATATAAAAAAATAACAATTTGCTAAACATTCTATTCTTACTGTCCGTCGCTGCCAAATCTCTGTAACCCATCTGAGTCTTCTTGTCATAAGGTACCACAATACCCGCTCTGTGAAAGGTGCGCGCAACAACTCGCTTTTCTCTCAATTTCATGTTCACCGTGTTTTTCTCTAGAGTTATATCATGCTGCTTCGCGTACCTTTTTAACTGAGAATGCAAATGCGTTATGCTGGTTTTCTTAAAAGGATTGGCAGATTTCAATTTGTCTTGTAAGTAAGAACTGTAATTGAGACACAAATAACAAAGGAATTCAGTGCGCAAGACATGTACAATTTGTCAAGTGTTTGTTTTCTATTTACTAACTCGACAGCGCCAAATATATTTTCTGCAACAGGTTCGAACACGCAGTTCACATCCGCTCGATTCTTTGCTACAAATACTGGTTTTTCAGTGACATCATCTCTCCAGTAACCAAAATGCAGTCCATCTTTATCATCGCTCTTCAAAATTGTCTAAAAACATTTTTATGTTGATATTCTATTTATATAAAAGTCATTTATATTTTAAAATTTATGAATTATATTACCTGAAACTCCGGCGGATCGTAATAATATCTCCAATGCGTTAAATACTTCTCTTTGTTATCTTCACAACTTATCTTATTTCCCAACACATCGTACGGGCCGACAAGTCTCAACTGAACGGATTTAAATGCCGCGAGAGGATTATTGTTTGATATACTTTTGCAAAACTCATAAAAATCGAAGAAATCTTTCGGCATCTCGACCAAAAATAGATTCGCAATTTTTTGAGCAACAGTCAATGATGATACATCCTCAATTTTGTTGGTTTTGTTTGAATCGGATGAGGAACCACACTGATTCGATGATGTTTCCGCAGTTGCCGTGTCCTCATCTGTTACTTTCGCTTCTTCATTCAACTTTTCATTATCTTTATCTTCATTTTCTGCAGTTGGCAGATCCTCATCTGTCACTTCCTTCGCCTGTTCGCCTACCTGTTTCTTACTTATATCTTCATCATTTTTTGCCGTTGCTGTATCCTTGTGTGCTACTTCTACTTTTTCGTCCAACTTTTTATTATTATCTTTATCCTCATTCTTATTAGTGTTCTTACGATTCTGAAAAATACTGTACAAGGTTCTTGTGGAAGACTCTTGTTTCTTCTGAAATTTTCTTTGCGGACTTTCCGAACGCGCTTCTTTCTTCTTGCCGTCTTTAACAAAAGCTTTTCGCTTTGCACCAGTAATTATCTTTTCGGAATTTTGTTTCATCTACATAATTCGAAACGTCAATGATATGTATTAATACAACTAACATATATATATATATATTAGTAAACAAATCTCAATTCTGTAAATATGTGTTTTTATTTATCGAAACTAAATTTAACCTTTTCTCTTTTTGGTGGGTGTTTGTACTTGCTGTGGTGTTGCGGATTTTTTTGATAACATTTTATGCCGTATTGACATGGGGTTCGTGGATCGTTTTTGTACGCCCGCAATTCAGCATCCTTATTGTCGTCTGACATTTTATAAATAATTAAATATATAATTCTATTCTTTCAATTTACATTTCTTTGTGCGATTCTGTCTAGACACTAGGCACGTTATGGAGGTTATGTTTCTTTGTTGCATATATATATGTATACAGTACAGATACAATGACAGATCGTCTCCGCCAGTCGGTATATTCTCTATCTCGAATACATACGTACCCATACATAAGTCGACGTGACATCGCAGTTCCACGTGCAACTTGAAAAATAAATTCTACTTAACCACAGTTGATCTTTATTATTTTTTTATATATATAACATTTTTTAACAAATTATATAATTTTATACTATAGTTTACGTATAATATATGTGTATATATAGTATGTCTGTGTGTATGTAAATAAACTTATAAAGAATTAATAATACACGGACAAATATAATTGCAGTATTATAAAAAAAATAAAAAAAAAAAAAAAAAACAAACTATAATTGGATTTATCTAATTGGAATATAAGTATTGTTCGCCATGCATACAAAGTTTTGAATAAACTGGCAGTAAATTTTGAATATAATGTGTATTCCTTCTTTCTCTCATTGTTTTTCTTTCCGATATATTGATGTATACATGTGTAAACTAAACTTTTTTTTTAATCGAGAAAGCTCGATAATTTTCTGTTCTTCAGTACAAATACGCCACATCATCATCATCATCATCATCGAACAACATGTCCCGATGAAAAACAAAGGGCGGTAAAATTCATTATCGGATCTTGCGTTTAAGATTGTCTTTCGCATATATGCGCACGCAAAGAAGGATAAGTTTCAGAGAAACGACAATGAATACCGCCCAAAAAGACGTTGCTTCTCTCACATTCAAGAAGAACGAGAGATCTCAAGACCTTATTATCGTAATAAAATCTGTTATTATTGTTTTTTTTTCTTTTCTTTTAACAGGAGGTATGTTTACGCTACCGCTCGTGCTTCCGGCAGGAAGCTCTCCCAGTACTTGATAAGTTGATTCTGATGTTGCAGCATCGATTCCAGATAATCGATCAGTTGCTTCTTAAAATCTTGCACCCGGACCAACTCGAAACGCTCGACTTCTTCCTTTATCATCTTCGAGATATTGTCAAACTCCTCCTGACCTCTGTTCACCTTCGCTTCCCATTCTATGACCTCGGTGGCCGCTTGCGAGGTCTTGTCCGTTCGACCGGACTGTTCGAGTCGCGCTTTCTGTTCGCGTTTTTTGTTCAGCATCAGCTGGGCGTGCTGCCAATTCTGAAAGACTTTCACCCTCTCGTGGAAAACATCCTGCAAAACAATTATTACGGCACACTATTGCAAAATAAAAAACAAAAAACAAACAAACTATAATCGTGAACACAAACTTTAATTGCTCCGATAAGCGCGACGTAATCTCTCAACATTTCTCCAAATTGATAAAGATCACTGTTGCTTTGTGTTCTTCTGATAACCTCCACTTTTTCCAAAGTTTCGGCCAATTGCGCGAGCGCACGACCGAGAGACGCTCCCGGTTCGCCGTGACCGAGAACGGCGATTGATTTCGCGGTGGCACCAGTGAAATTCGCCAATTCCTTTCTCTGAATCGTCAGACAATCAACAGCGGAATGCAAAGAGCGTAACTGAATATCGAGAGAATCTATTTGCGACGTCTTTTCTTCAAACCACTGCGCGTAAACAAATAAATAAACAGACATATAAATTTACATATGCAATAAAAAAAACAACAAAACTTGTTTTCGTGAAGATCTCTCACCATATCGCTTTCATCCATTTTGTACGTTATCTTGTTAACCGTTTCTCCAACTTTGTTGAAAAGTCGCATTACTCCTTTGCCACTTAATGCGGACGTATTAGTGGCCTTGGGCAATTCTATGTCTAAAACAAGAGAAAAAATCACAGACAGTAATAGAAAACAACTCGATCTACCAATTGCTATACTTACCGGCTTCTAAAAATTCTCTGAAATCGGGATCGATACTCAAAACCGGATGCGTAGCCGTTCTGTTCAAATATCTCTCGAGAGCCGCTCTACGTCGTTCAATGAAATCCGATGTAGAACCCGAATTCTGCTCTTGATTTTTATCTCCGGACATTTTCATTTTTGTTGTTCCTATTGACGTAATTCATACGAGATTCCGGTATAATAATTTTTCCATCTCCGCGAGACATGCCTTGTATGAGAAATTTATATAAAATGTTCTTTTTTTTTTTTTTTTTTTTTTACCAATAACATTTTTCTCAGGAGCTGGTGGAATTATCCTGCCGTTTCTAAGATATTTCTCCGTCAACTTGTCGTGAAGACCTAGAAAATCGCTAAAGCGCCTCATTACGCTGAAGTGTCTCTTCTTAAAAATGAGCATGTTCGTTTGGGTCTCGACTTTGTACGCGACGTAGGCGGCCATTCCGTCACCAATCTTTTGAGGCGAGGTCACCGTGATCTTCAGAAAAACTTCAGACGCATCCCCAGGAACCTGCGTGTGTGCACACACGTGTAAACAACATAAAATTTGTGATCCGCAATTGTGTGTCTCAAATATATACCTCTTCCAGAGATCGTGAATGAATAACATTTGTAGATAGCGTATCCGCGTTGTCGTTAATTGGAACGTCATGAAGATCGCCGATATCCGAGCTCATGGGTCCCAACGGGGAGCTCAACGGGCCCGGAGCCGGACTGGACACGGTGGAGAACGAATTCTCATCTGGCATGTCTCGCAAAGACAATTTTGGCAATTCCGCCTGGATCTTGGATATTCCATTGTACGGCGAAGTGTCCTCCAATTGGCTCTGATCCTGCGTGATTACATACAAAATTTTATTTATTTATTTGCAAACTCTCGTTTGAAAATTTACATAAATTACGAACTCTTTCTACCGGTAATACAATACGCTCTCTCGTTGTTATCACATGGTGTGATGTCAAGTAGAGGTGCATGCTGAAAGAGGGGAAGATGAGGGGGAGGGAGGAGGTTATCACTTGCATAGGAAGAGAAACGTATTTCGATCGATCGGATCGAAAGTTTAATGAAGAATCTCGACGATCTTTGACGCTAGATAGACGCGGAAGAACATGCTTCGGGCTGATTATCGCGTATTTATCGCCAAATAAACATAAAACTATCGCATCGCATGTTTGATCAAAGTACGTGTTCGTCGAGGTTACAATTATTATTATTTATTTTTTTTTCTAACCGCTTTAACACCTGACATAGAGTACACTTGACGCAATACCTGCACCGCGGAGGCAAAGATATCCTCATCGTCGTCCTCCAGATCCAATTTGGTTTCGTTCGTGTCGAAGAGCGGCGGTGACTCTGTCATATCGGCCATTTTAACGATTCTGTCAAAGCAAGCACGACGACGATTGTGCGGATCGGCCCCCCTTGCGATTATCGTACACGTTGCGATTGTACCTACCGGACGAAAATAATACCGGACGAGATCGCGTCGGACGATTCGTCGGGTTTTCGTCCGCGCCGAATGATGGCGCGCCGAGCGCTTCGATATTTCGAGAATCGCAATTTCGATACGTTCGCTTTGTGGCGCGCAGTCATGGCCGACGCGGAGAAGAGCTACGTTCGAACTGTGTGTTCGTGCCGCGTCTCTTCCTCGCGATTGATTACCTCGTCCCGCGCGCGAATATCTCACTCACAGCGTGCTATAAAGCATCGGCCAGATTGCGACGATACGATAATTAATCGTCGAGCATTCGCTGATTATCGTCGAACTTCATGGCGAAGATTCGCTGATTATCGTCGAACTTCATGGCGAAGTCGTATCAAAAACCGTAACGTCACTCGCTCTCTTAATTTTCTCCTCGCTGCCACTTACGAAAGCCCTCGCGACGAAACCACGTCAGAAACGCTATTCTAAGTAACTATTGGATTAATATATAATAATAATTATTATTATGTAACATATATTGTAACATATATTAACATCGACTTGTTCTCCGAATCTCTATAAATTTAGGAACTTATATATATGCTTAAATTCTCGATTTGTAAGTTAATGCTTATTGTTATCTTCATTGTTTATTAATTTTCTTGATTTTAATTTGTCTTTTTGTTATCTCAAATAATTTACACATTCATAAATAATTTATACATTCATTCGTACATAATTTATACTCAAATAATTTATACAGCGCTCATACTAATTTTATTTTTGTTCATTGTCTTTTGTATTTCAAAAAAGAGAGAGAGAGATCCTCCCTCCCGCTTAAATGTATGCAAATTAAAATTTTGTATAATGTAATAATTATTGTGTAACTTTTCAGAATGGATTTTGATCGTTTGAGGAAGAAGAAATCTGTTTTACCAACCAAAGAAATCACGGGGAACGGTGCAGAAGAAGGGGAACGGCAATGAGGAGAGAGCGAGAGGATGTCCCAACTTTCATTCCGCGAATAACACGACCTCTTTCTGGAGACTCCGCGCATAGAACGCGCGGACGCGACTCACGTCGCGCAACATATTCGTTACTACACCGTTACTACGCGTCACGAAGGTTGAATCACGGGTGCGACGATGTGTCACTAGGTGTTCGATTCATACATCAACGTGTGCGTTACGCGCGACGAACTGGCGCCGTTTCGTCCTGTTTTTCACGATTCGTGAAATTAACAAGTCAGACGTCTAATCGCAGCGCGATCATCCGCTTCCACCCCGTGGAGAACACACATTTTTGCATGGTATCCGAAGATCGCGCGCTGGAAAAATGCAGGTTAGAGAATTTAGAATCTGATCTCTTCTGTTAATTGTACGCATTTGTTTCTCGCATCTCGTAGAATAATGTGAAAATATCACTTAAAATTTTGTCTCGAATGTGCGTTTGCAAAGACTAGAGTGTTTAAAGGATTTTAACATATGGAAAGCACATCGCTCCGTAGTATTAAAAAATTTTAGGACTTTTGCATTAAGGACCATTGCTTTTTATTTTTCGACGTTTGTTCGAAGTTAGTTGGCCAACACATTTGTGATATTTTCACTCAAATATGTTTATCTATTTTTATATACACAATATAGCAAAATATTCATCTGATATAGTCGAATTGGTCCCGATGTTAAAATTATAAGCTACGACGACGTGCAATTAAATGTCAAATAAAATGTATGTACAAGTGTATACTACATCCTGTTGTGCTCAAACAGCACATAAAGAAAGAAACATTCGCGATATCTTACGCATATGTAAAGGACTCTGGGTGTGCAATGCGGAGACGTGAGCGGTTTGGAATTTCCCGCGTCCTGTTTTGCGTCGTTTCGCGTGATTTGTCGTTTTCTCGCGCTGATTTTATTTACTCGATATCGGTCTCGTGAATATTTTCTTTATATATTTTTTTGACATCAATTCAGGGTAAGATTAAACACGTTGAAACGTGTTCGTTGAAAAAGTTTTAACTTTCGTTTCATTGGTGTATTTTCACGCCACTATTTCGAAGATGCGACCACGATTTGCATATTATGAGTCATCCTTTTTATCTCGCACCATCCACTTTCGTGAGATTCTTGACATCTTCTGCAGAACTCGTTTGGAAAGGTAGTCGGCTAATGAGCTGAGTTGTTTCACGAATATAATTGGTCATTAGTTAAAAATACTAATGAGTGAGTTCATTCGTTATTTTCGTAGATTTTAATCGCACGTTGTAATAATCTTTTGTTTAAACAAGCTAAATTAATTTCCACATGCAATTACGCGCGTAATTACACGTACATTTAGATTTTGAAATGGTTGAACAAATGTAAAAATAATCACTTTTTGATATAAGTGAATGCAAGAACTTATGCCAAAGTTTTCTCACTTTATTCAAATGTATGTATACACAGTAGAGACTCCCATATCCAAACCCCCATTATCCGAATAACCCTAATATCCAAACATTTTATCATCCGAACATACATGTAAATATATTGAATATAAACATCGCTATTTATATAGAAAATATATATCCGAACATTCCGTTGTTCGGATAACAGAATGTTCGGATACTAGGATTCGGATAATGGGGGTCCAGATAAGAGAGTCTCTATTGTACATTCAAATAAGAGATAAAAAAAAACGTTTTCTTAATGATTCGGAGTACGTATGAAAAGCGTTTTAACAAAAATGTTTCAAGAAACATTTAAGGAAATGTTTTATAGTTTTAAATTTATTTCAAAACCCGGTCAAAATTAGATCATATTATTGGCCACGGAGCATCAAGACGCGATCGATTTTGGATATTCGACCACGAGTACCGGCTGTGGAGCGCGTTTGCGGGGAGCTGCGCGTTTTTCGGGGTTTCGACCTCGTTTCACCCCAAAATCCGGCGATCCCCCGAAGGGGAGCTCGGGGGACTCGGTGAAAGAAGTCGCACAAACGTGCGACACATTTAACCCATTTACGGTGCGGTGTTCCCCTTCGAGCAACAACACACAGTCGCTGATGATGATGGTGGGGAAGCAGGGTAGGATAAAGAGAACATTTAATTTGAGCTTGCGAGGAAGTAGTTGATTGGAGATGTGTTGGAGGTACGCCTTGTTGGCGTACGAAGGCAGTTGCTGCTCGACCGTTGGTCTCGCTGGACCCCGCACGCGCGCGATATTCACCCCGCTTGAGATAGCGACCGCGACGTCCCGATCCCGCCGCGTCGTCGGAGCGATTGATTTCGCAGACACGCACGTCTCGTCTCTTTGTATATATATATATATATTTATATTTACTTTTAACGCGCTAGATCACGTTTCGATCGCACGTGACCGAGCGATTTCGAGCGCCCGGTGTCGCGCTCTGAAATTCTGTATATCTTTTTTATCGGCCACGTGAGAAGTGATATAACTTATATATCGCGGTGCGTAAGCAAACAAGAGATTGGTGTAACTCAGTCGAACTCGACACGTCGTCAGCGACTGTTTGCGATATAGTTTTACGCACTGACTCAGGTACTTTGATACTTAGCAAATATATTGCGTGTCTCGTTTGTGATTCTTGTTTTCGAATTTGGTGATGATGGATTCTGCGCGATGTATGCCCGTCTTTTTCGTACAACCGATCGCGAGATTTGCTCGTTACTGAAAGTGAGTCGAGCTCCGGTAACTGTAAAAGTAAGATCTCGATTTTTTAACCGGGACTTATGTCATAAACCCTTACAAGTCTTGCGATATTAGCAACCGTCTAGGGGATATGTTCTACGTAAAAACAATATCAGCGTCACAATCTCTGTCTGTTGAATATTTTTTTTATTAATATATTATTAATTGTTGCGGGTGTGGGTATTATTTTGAACAACGTTCTAAAAACGTTCTAAAAATATACAGAAATTAATAATATATTTGACAGACGGTTGCTAATACTACGAGATTTGCATTTTTATGAAATGTGCTCCATATATGTCTCTCGTGTGCATACATTACTGACAATTACTGATAATTTACGTAAAAATAGTAACGCATTTAGTAGATTAATAAAGATTTATGTTGTCAACGCGCATAAAGTAAATTGCATTATTTTTGATAATGGTTGGAAGCATCGAAGTTAATACGCTTGCGCACGCAGAAGATAAATTTTTTTTTATCTATCGGGAGATACGAAGTTTATATTATCTATTTTTTTAAATACCTTTTTATTTTTTTTTGTGTTCTTTCTTTTTGTATTTTTCTTCAATATGAAGAATATAACAATGAGCTGAAGACGGTGATTTCGAGTGTTTCAAAGGTCGTTTAAATTGCTTGGTTTTTTTTAATTGTTGGAAATATTTTATCGTTGATAAATAACAGGCGGCAATTTGCAATAAATTAATACACAAATTTAAAGGTAAAAATACCGCCTGTCTGGCACAGAAATTTGAATTTATCGGAAAAACTAAACTTACATACACGTGCCGATCTTCGAGATTACGACGAGCAGCGAAAAAGATGAGATACGTGCGCGTTTAATTTTTTTTTTTTTTTTCTTGTCTATCCTGCGAAGGTGATATTTATGCGCGCGCAAATCATAATCTCGCAATTCCTTACGTTACGCGAATCTTCAATATTGCATTCGTTACGATCGGGCCCCCCGACTGCAGTTTTCCCCCTAATTATTTTATAGCGGTTGACCGAGTTAAGAGAGCAACCTCCCCCTCTTCTTTCGTTCTTCATCTCCCTCCGTGAAATACGGATATATTATCGCGTTTTAGAGCGCGAGTGTGTCGTTAATCGCACCACGCTCTCTTTCTCTCTCTCTCTCTTATATAAATAAAGCAAAGATTCATTCATTCATTCATTCTCTCTCTCTCTGACGACGTCGCAACGCGATTAATCGCCGGATTTCCCGCCGAGGACGCTCGATCGTCGTCACCTTCGTAGGATAGACAAAAAAAAAAAAAAAGAAAAAATTAAACGCGCACGTATTCTTTGTTCTTTGTTGACGCAACGTTAAAGAAAGACTCTCTACGTCGCACAATGGAGAACTAAAAGAGAGAAAATGGTTTTTCCTCCCTTAGGGTAGAATTTCTCTCGGGGATTCCCTAGGAACCCTCGGAACAAGACACACGTAGACAAGAGTAATCCAACACACTGAACGATGGAAAAAAATTGAGGTATGTGTGTGTGTGTGTGAACAGACCGATGACGAGACGTGGCATTTGAAAAAAAAAATTAATATTAAACAAAACATTGGTAATTTGTGTATTTGTTTTTGACGATTTTAACGACACAATACTGAAGTTTGATAACGTTTCCGCAAACGATCTAAGAATTCGTTTTGTGATATTAATATAGTAATAAAAAAAAAAACGAATGATCGCGAAACATCTCAAAGCTTTGCTTTACAAAGCCTTTGTGTATTGAATAATTTAATTTCTCCTCCTGTCTCTGTCTTTTTTCCTCTTCGTTCGGAAGAATACAATCAAATCCATCCGGAATGTCGTTGTTTTGCCGTAAAAAAAAAAAAAAAAAAAAACGACAAAGAAAATGACCCCGGTGATTTAGTGTCCGCGTACCTATGTTAACCAACGGTCGGAATGTACAGAGTGCCGTAAAAAGAAACGCGCGGATGGATCCAACAGGTGGTTCGAAATAATTTCTTGCAACGCGAGGGGTAAAAGGGGATGAATCCGAGGGACACAACAATACCTCTCTATTCTTTGAAGACAATAATGATTCACGCGCGCGTACAACGACCGTGTTGTTTTTTTTTTTTTCACTCGTCGCCCGCGTGTGTTCCGTCAGAAAATATCTCATTCGCATGCGACAGTGTATTATCCCCTCTCCCCCCCCCGTCTGTGTGTTTCTCCGTGATTTAAAAGGCGCGTTTATCAGCGCTTTACGCTACTTGAGCAAGCGGCTCGAACTTTTTTTTGTTTTTCGATTATATCTAATCGAAGTAATGCGAAGTGTCATCGGTTTTCGATATCACGTTCGCGCATACGTAAGCTTGATGTTTATATAACGTTTAACACACGAAGCTTAATGTTTGGGGACGACAAGTGTGCCAAGGGTAACTAATCAGATGCTGTTAAGAGATCGGTTCCTGTTATGTGGTGGAGCAACATCGCGAGCGCGTCAGCTTGATGAGAAAATTTTCCGACGTTCGCGCGATCGAAAAAAAAAAATTGTATTTCATCCTTGATTTTATCACAGACGTATTTTATCACGGTCGTGATAACGTGGCAACGAAATATCTCTTGTGTATCGTTTTTTAATGTAATCGGAAGATAGTTACATTGCGTCATCACTTACGAATCTTTGCGCTGGCAAGCAAATTCGTGTGCATTAGTTTTTTTTTTTTTTTTTGTTTTTTTAAATTACGATTTCGAAGGTGGGAAATCGAACGTTGCGCGAATATTTTATTTTGTCGCGATATGACTTGACTTTATTTCTGTTATATTTTCGCTCGACCGATCGATTGCAACGACGGATTATTTTACGAAAAACTCAACGTGCACCGCAACGCGCGACCACCTGTAAAACGCTTACCGCTTCGCGAGCTGCAATTTTTGCGGTGAAAAACCGCACACACGCCCTTTTGTCGTCGTGCGCGAAAAACTCGCGTATATATATATATATATATCACGTTGCTCAATCAAGAGGGATAGATCTGAAACACGTCGATGGAAAAACGTCGCGCGCGGACGTCTTTTGAAAACGACGTAGATAGAATCGTCGTGCGCACGAATACGCGTCAATTGCAATTGGTTTGCGCCGTTGGATTTCAATTTGTGTTTTCCAATTGTGTCAAACCATAAGCAAAATGTTATATTATTGCGCGTAACACAAGCTCTAGTCTTTGACGTATTCTCAGAATTTTTAGCGTGATTTAGAAACAGGCTTCTTTTGCGTCTCACGTTTTCTTCCCAGTGTATATCGAAAAATTTCTTCTCTAGAATGTTTTCAGCTTACATTTAGGTACGCATGTTGTAAATCACGATCGGACGGAAGTATTCAGGTAGAACTCGAGTAAATTTCATCCTTCCCTTTATGGGCGGGCCAATAGTTTTCTCATAGCGATTTCGGCTGGTCTACACCGACTGTATATTTTGGTGTAACTCAAGACAGGAATGGTTCAGTTCCTTGCTGGTGCCGCGTATTCGTCTGAGCTCAGTATATACACCGCATAGATGTACGTTAGGTGTACACAAAGTGGCTCTCAGAAATTAGTTGGAGCCAGTTGGTGTGGTCTCGTGTTCGGTTGATATACACTAGCGTGGTCGAAAAGTGCGTCATTAATTGGTGACAAATATCTCATTGCAGAGATCCAGGGAACAGCTGACGAATTGCAGCACGGCGACGTTGGCGACCGAAGTCGCGGAAAACGAAACAACGACCATATCCAGAAAGATCATGAATGTCTGCGGGAAAGGTATGCGCTGGACGCACATGGTGGATTTATTCCTGGGGCTATCAGGTGAGAATTTTTTTCACGAAACACAGCGCGAAACAATATCCTGTACTGTTTTCGTGAGAGAAAAAATTTGTAAGTTTTATTTTCTGCACATTGTGCGTTTTCGATGAACACGTGACCACGCGCTGTTGTCTATTTCGATAATGTACGCGCGCGCGCAGTTATTGACGGATATATGTCTCGTATTTAAGAATTAATACGGTTAATTGAGCGTTACATACGTTGGCTTTTATTAGCCCCATAATTATTCGTGTCCGCGACTAGTGCGCGTGTCTTCCACGCCAGTAGGAAGTGTTATCTCGTTAACTGACGCGACTAGCGTTATTGCATTAGTAAGCAAACCGCGAATAGTCGGAAGTAACATATCGCATGCTCTTCCTAAGCGGTGCGCCTTCCGTTAAGACCACGTCAACAAGTTTGAGAAGTCGCAAAATTGTATGCAAACCGATCAATCACGGACTAGCGAAGATGCCGCTATGTCGCGCGATTCGCTTCACGAATAAAATTTTGTCACGTGCGAAGACTTCGTCTTTTCATACGATAAATAAACAAGCGTTGGACAAGTTAATGGCTATTGTATGTACATGAGCCGTATCCTCTCTCTCTCTCTCTTCATGGTCATTGTTAATTCCGACAAAAATGTTCTTGGAAATTCGCTACGTGGATATTTCTGCGAAAACATCGCCGTAAAGAATTGCATTTACGATCTAAAGAAAGAAACGTGTCCCGTTACGTTTGCGTAACGTCGTCTTTAGCCTCAGAAATATAAATGCAACCGCAAAAGAAACTCTGGAACCGATGCGCTAATTGAATTTTAAATTAAATGTTTCTTAATGTAATAAAATTACAGTTAATTCGATTTTTTTTATTTCAATATCTTAAAATCCTGACGCGCGATAGCGAAATTCCGAGATCGTATTCGAATTCGGCGCAAAATCCTCGGTCGGATCGAAATTTTGAAAAGTCATGTTTTTTTTTACAAGAAAAATTTGTAAAATTTCTATTAAATAAATTGGACAAAAAACAGTGTTGAAATCTCTGTCCGCGCTTCTCGCAATCAACTTAACTCTTGTAGTGGTTACGCACTTGATCACAATTATATTGACAATAACCGACGAACGGCAGACACACACAGAGAATAGGAATATGAGAATTGAATCGGACTGTGTGAGGAACATTTTTCTCTCGCGCGGTGTGCGCGCGGTCGGTTGTACTGAGCGTGTAGTATCTCTTTTACATGGAAGCGCATTGAAACCACGGGGATGAAACCACGCGTGTAATGAAGCCCGACAAGGAAACCGCGAACTGTGTAATGCAATATTACGGCCGGCTGTTCGACTAGAATTTTTACGGGCTGCGTGCCGGTTTAAATACCTCTGTGCAACTGCCACGTAATGATGGCAATGAGTCGTACGTTCTCGCTTCAAGTACCCGCACGTACGCGTGTGCAACTGTTATTCCCGAAGTGAGAGAGAAATATATCTTGTTTTGTCATCTTGAAAGTGAAATTTATTTTGTTCGTTAATTCGCACACACAATAAAAATGTTAAATATTATTTTTATCAAATAATTAATTAACAAGAAAAGCCCTCGGTTACAAAAATTTTTAATATTTCACACATTCATTAAAACTACTCAGAACGAAACATTAAATTTGAAAAACGCTCGGTTTTTAGATAACAAATAATACGCAAGGTCACCATCAAGCGAATATATTGATCTTTGATAGTGACGCTCGATATTGATTGATATTCACTTCCGTGTTGTTATCAATTTACTATTCTGAACATTTTAATTTTTTGTACATTTCTGAAATCAGTTCTTTCGACATCATTTGGTTGTTTCTAAACCATTAGTCTAGACTCCTCTCGAGTCTATCCGTGTGGAATGTCAAGAAAAAAAGAAAGAAAAAATATGTCTCCTTAGAGGTATCAAACGGAGTTTAACGTCTCTTAACTGATTATAGCGTGGTCATGTGTGTCACACTCTGACGAACGTTATATTCTCCCCCGCAACGTTTACACATCCAAATATGTTCCACTCATTGCCCCGTTTCGCTTTCTCTCTCTCTCTCTCTGTTGTAGCTCTCGCATATGCAGCGAGAATGACGCGCATAGTTAGTCAAGATCGGGTTAAAGGAGATTCAAGGCTAATTTCAATTTAGAGGGTCCTCCTGCAATTGTAAGCGTAAACCCGCGTGTGTGTATACGTAGGACCCGCAGTGGGAGAGTATTCGCAATAGGTGGTCCGAATTGTCGAAAGACTTTCGAATTGCGCGATCGCGAACTTTATACTTTGTTGTTTATTTTATTTATTGTCAATTATTAACGTCGTGGTTTTTAAAGACCACTTGTTTGGACAATGGTTTTTTAAAACTATAACGTCTTTGATAATAAAAAATATAAAAACATGTCGACGAAAAAAATGCATTATCAATTCAAATAGATGTTGAGTTGTAAAAACAGGTTTTTACAAGAAAAATTTTTTTTAAAAAAAAGCAGTCTTGTCTTATCTGTATTACGTAGTCGCTTCTCTTGAGCGTCGCGTTCGCGTACGCGCACGCGTATTAAATTACGTGATGATAACACGAAGAATATATAGCGGGTTCCCTAGTATTAGTAAGTGAGTACTCTCGCGATATTGTCCATCGGCGAGCGAGCGAGCGAGGAGGACGGACGTTGTACGTAGACAATGACGTCTTGCTTGAGCTATTTGTGGTTAGCTGAACAAGACAGTTTTTTTCGAGTCGTGCGTGAGAGAAAGCAGCGGGAAATGAAAGCCAGCGACACTCGGAAACAAGCAACATCGCTACTCGAGTGGCTCTATTACAATCGATGTGCAATCGGTGCGTATCAGAGAAAAAATCATGAAAATATCTCACTTATCTGTCTTCCTTCTACAATATTTAGAAGCGACAAGTGTTAAGTGCCTAATTTTATTACCAATTGCGTCGCTTGCGCGACAAATGAGCGACACGTAGATGCGATCAACGCCTAATTTTTTTACGTCCGAGTTACCGTACGAATATAACAATTTAGAGATATATGACGTTTCTCTTATCTCACCAAACTAAATACGCGATATAAAAAAACAAGGTAAATTTTAGCAAAAGTTTTAACAGCGTGCATCGTGTTGTTTTTTTATTCATTTCAGTGATTCTGCTCGTGATAGTTCTGGAGCTGAATCTTCTGCCACGTGTGTATTCGATGGGCTTCTTCTGCAACGATCCGAAAATCTCGTTCAAGTTCACGGGCGACACGGTCTCGATGGGCATATTGATAGCCGGCAGCGTCGTTCTACCTTTAATAGTGGTAAATTTGCTCTTTCTCTAGTTTAATGTAATTACAACAGTGCAAAATAAAAAGAGAAAGTAACAAATTGAAAACTATAAACGTCGTTACTTATGTACAATAAAAATATATGCTCGTCTGCAGTAACTCGAGTCCTTGACATTTAAATATTCTAACAGTGTTGCTTCACAGTCAAGTAGTTACGTTTCATTTTTTTGTCAGCCGTAATATCAATAATTTCGCGATAAAATTGTATATTTACATAAATGTGAAATAGAGAATAGGCATTATTTAGATTTTTTTTATAATAATGCATGAAATAAATTTATGTAAAAATGAGAAATATATTATAATATATTTCATCTATTTCCGATGCGCTGAATGTGTGCGCATAATAATTTTTTAATTTCTTTTAGATGGGAGCCGTGGAATATACTTGTCCCGTTGAGTGTTACGAAAGCGCATCGAATTGCAGCAGAAACAGACGAATCTGGCGTTGGTACTATCATTACAGCGTAGGAATTATCGCCCTCACATTAATTTGCAGTGTCATAAAGCAAGTGATCGCGGAACCGCGGCCGCACTTTCTCGACACGTGCAAACCACACGAAGCGAGCAACTGCACCGATGAGTAAGCATGATCTATTATTTCTTATTCCTTTTTTGTCCTGCTACCTAGGTTCTACTTCCTGGGACGCAATTAGGTTGTCTTTGTGTTAACGACGTGTTAGGCCTTAGAAAGGCGCAAGTGTGTAAACAAAGTGTGTTCGCGAGCATGTGAGTAATACGCTTGCATATACGGCTTGAGAAAAACGGAGTAACACATATATGTATATAACTGGATGCAATATTTACGATAAAACATACGTAAAACTAGAACAGATATGACATTGACCTTAAATTCTGTCGCATCACCTGGAATATAAATCAAGACGCAGTTTTTTATACAGATAAGGAATATGAATGTCACATAATCAAATATTTATCCACATTTCCATGTGTGCGAGATAACATTTATGCAATCTTTTATATTTTGAAGTAAACTTTGCTTTTTACTGCTTGTTTACAACAAACAAAATAAATGTTAACGTAAATTTTTTCTTGCTGCTCGGACACGTACACAGTCGGTTATATAGAATTCTATGTCTTTCGTATCATTTTTACAGATATATCAGGTTTTACACATGCACAAATACTGAAACTTCTCAGTGGTACATCAAAGACGCCAGCAAGTCGTTTCCATCTGGTCACTCGGCGCTTTCTATTTACACGAGCATTTTTCTAGTGGTAAGAATTTGATCTTTCGGTCACGTTCAGCAGAACGCAACGTGATTACTCAATGTGATTAGCGATACTTTTCAATTATCAGAAGTTTCCTGACGAAGCGGAAAATCGTAAAACGATGACAAACAGTTGCGCAATGATTGAGTTCTGCTGAATGATGATTTTTTTTGTTAACTTTAGATAAAAAACCAGCAAGTCATAGTTTCCGGTATATGTATATATTTCGTACAAGTTCAACAACAGCAGATAATATAGAGAACTGCGATGGATTTTTAACAGCATCCGGTACTCCTCGTGTATTATCGATAGTCAATATTTTAGTGTGTGAAAAAAATGTTAACAAATAACGGCATAAAAATTTGCATAGAATTAACGAACAAATAATCACGACGATCGAATTCCTCGAAATAAGTAGAATTTGAATTTTCTGAGAAAAGGAGTTAAATATTTCGACAACCAGCAAACCTTACAAAGCTTCGAACTATTTTCGTGCATTTTTTTTCCTCGCCGCCGAGTCAACAATGAGTCGAGTTCGATGGCGCGGAGGAATTTTATTTTTCACATTTTATAAAAACTTGTTTGTCTTTCTCTCTCTTTGTATCCGCGCGCAGTGGTACCTGCAGAACCGCCTGTCGAAGCGAACATTGTTGCTGAAACCGTGGCTGCAGTGCTTCTCGGCCATGTGGACTGTGATATGCTCGATGACTCGAGTGGCCGACAACCGGCATCACTGGTGGGACGTTCTCGCGGGCTGCTCCATCGGATTCGTTTTTGGTCTGTTCGTCGTCGTTATTTCTTGCCAGCACTTTCGTCTCGAGCGCCTCGGAACGACGCACACGCTCAACGAATACCTGGACAACGGTCAGATCGGCGGCAACGCGAAACAGAGCGTCAAGAAGCTGCTTAGCCCCGTAGTGGTCGAGGTCTCGGAGAATCGGGAGATGAAGAACATCGAGACTACGCGGACGAAATAAAGTGCACGAAAAAATATGTTACGTCGTAACATATATATATATATATACGATACGATTTGAAAGATGAGAAGTGAGGAGATGCATGGACGTTCCTAATTATGAAAATGATCGAATTCCAGATCTGATTTTCGTAGGAAGATGCGACCTTTACGTAGAATTCTTCGGATAATATTAGGAATATGTTAGCGCCTAGAGTCGGTTGTTTTTCTTTTCGAAGTACATGCGCGTGTAAAGAGTCGCATCGTATAATCGTGAACAAAAAATAAACACTTTTCCCTCGGAGCTGTGTTCTTTTTTTGCCACGATCGATCGATCAAAGAGTGATACGACCGAGAGCACTGTTGTATCCCTTTGAGAGCGAGGAGCGCACGTAATGGTATTTTTATTTAACTCACTCAAACTGCTCAGTATATAGTAGTCGAACGTTTGTATATAATTATGCAATTTGTACATATACTATATCATTCCGTTAAAGAAATACACATATCAATAGTCGCAGGCATATCGATTGCGAAGTTTTCGCGAATTCGAGGTACCACTAGAGAAAGTATCTGGGAAAAAAATCCCTTTATGTGTATGAACAAATTCCATAATACAACCGGATCGAATTTTTTTTTTTTTTTTGTTTTTTTACATATGCGAAAGTTTTCTCCGAATGTGGAAAAAAATTCTCTCGTATTTGCGCATAATCGTAGACTGATTTTCATTTAGGAAAATCTTGTTTAGTTTACGAATTTCGTTAATTTTATTATATTGCTTGCTGCATGCGCAATTTTGTAACATAGTGAATGATTTGTGCAGTAAACAAAAAACAGGTGACGCACACACGTACCTTTAAGCAGAATATCGAACACAATGCATAAAAATAAACTTAATCGCTCGAATAACTGCAACGCAAGATTTTCTAGATGAAATGCGAAACTTTAGTTACGTTTTTATTTTCCAGACACTTTTTGTAAATATTATATTAACTCTTAACCCGCGAACTTTGGTATACGTCGTCACAGATGTTTTAATGTGAACTTCGCATAGATTTCACATAAACAAAATCTCGCATACATATCGTCCTGATATTAATCAGTGACGCGAGGCCAGTTTTATCCGAAATTCTTCTCACAGAATACAAATAAATAATCATGCAGAAACGATATCGCGGTCAAAGAATCGTTTTTTTTTTGTTGCACATTCCGAAATATTAGATTTTTCCCAAATTTACATATTTTATCGCACGTCATACATATCGTAACATTTTTACTTGACTTGCGTGAGAATAGCAGCGGAACCTCGTTTCTATGTTAGACAACAAAAAAATGTTCAGAGAAGTAAACACGTGTTTTACAAGCAATAATATGTTTTTAGTAGATATTACGATAAATATTACAAATACGAATCGTTTTATTACAGTTGGGAAGAATTTCGGCGCGAGACAGAGATTATCACATTTTTATATGATTTCTAAACTAGCAAATTTCTCAGTTTTAAGTGTCTCTTTAATAGAGTAGGTTTTAGAGATTTTTCTCATCAGAGGAGCTATCTTGTTGCCACATCGACTTTGTCAACTTTAGATCGCTTTCTTCTAACCGAGATTTTTCGTTTCTTGTATCGGAAGTACTTTCTAATGAAATATTAAATGCGTGCGTACATACGCACGCGTACGTACACACGCGAGGAACATAAAATGTTCACCTGTCAAAGTTATGGACCATAAATATGAGCGGTGTTTGTATACCGCGATGTAACCAGCAATACGGAGGATAATGATAAGTTAAGCAAAATTAAAGTGATTACATCGTACGTGAGTGTGCTTTAATACACACGTTGTCGATTGTTATTTTTATAGTGTATTACGCTTACCTCCCGTAAGAAGCGTGTTATTTAAGATAGCGGCCGATTTCCGGCCGTGCAATTACGTACATATACATATGCGAGAAAATATTGTAAAAAAAAGTATTACGTTTGAAAAATAATAAACGGGACGGGCTAGTCATAGAGTCGTCTTTTTTGTTAAAAAAAAAAGCGTACTTTATATTTAATTTAATTAACGTCTGTCTGTGTGATGAGTTTTATCATTATTTATCGTGCGATTACGATAGATTTCGCAATTGTATGTACGTGCTGTCGCGACTTATTTACGACCAAGCGAATCTATTTTCTTAGACAATAATTTCCACAGTCGTAACAAATACGTAATATTAAAAGTACAACATACACGTTCCATTCTTCTTAAATCAATTAATCGAAATAGTTACTTATAAATGCAAACGAAAACCGAGATAAAGTATTAAGCTTGGAAAACTAATATAAGTACGTGTGTATGTTTTTGTAAATATAAGAAAACAATTATATACATTTCGATATATGCGTGTATTATTGTAAATACAAGACGTGTAACATGTGTACATCTTAATGCACATGTATATTTCTCTTAGATATTGGTACAAAGGTTTTTTTTAGAATTTTAGGGCCGTACCGGTTGCACAGCCACATTGAATTATGACGTCAGAAGCGAGAGAAATTTATATAAATTTAATTTAAAAAAAAAAAGAGAAACATTATACATATATAAAAAGTCATTCTTTTTCGAGAAGAATATTTAATAATTCGAGAATTATCTTTTACATTTCCACTTATTTATTATCTTTTTTAGATTTTTGCAATTTGAAAAATTTGCGACCCAAATCCAAAATTAACTCGCGAAGATTGCTTCGAAATCGTTCTTGTGTACACTGATGTAATTTTCTGTTGCAAGTGAGAATAAGATGTAAACATGAAATCGACCGAGTTTTCGTCCTTTTGACTCTACATCGCACAAATAATCACGTTTCCTTTTTCTCGCTCTTCCCTTCAAGTCATAGATTATAGAAAAACTCTCTCTGTCCCCTCTGAACCTCTCATTTATTATAATTATTATTTTTATGCAGATAAAATCCAGTCGTTCGCGTGTGACGCAAAACCACTCGCACAGAATGAAATCCATTGGGAGAAGATGGGACTCGTCGACGAGCGAATCGCGGAAAAAAAAAACCTGTGGCGTTTTCTCTATAAAATGATCCACGTGCACGTCCCAAGATACACCATGAACCAACTATCCATCTCCACGCTCTCTCTTTCCCTCGCAAGCGAACGGATGTGCGGCCGAAACAACGAGCGATTTAATTTGGTGGCCGTGCGACGGACGGACAAACGGGCCGAAGCATTTTTTCGTCGAGGCCGAGTTTCTCTCTTTTTCTCTCTCTCCCACCTTCCTTTTTTTTATTCTACCCTTTTCCTCTCTCGACTCACGCTCGCCCTCCTTTTTTTTGCTCCCCCGACGAAACAATTGGTTAAGGGGGTTGCACGCGCGGAAAAGGGCATGCGGGTGTGGGATGCTCGAGGCGCGTGAGGGAGGCGAGGCAGCGTCAGGAGGAGGAAGAGGCGGACGAGGCGGGGTGTGGTGGATGAGGAGTAGCGGGGGTGCGCGGCGGCGTGGAATGAGATTGGCGCGGTACAGAGAGTGCGGCGCGAAGGTTGGATGAGAGAGATGAAGTGGCAGATTAACGTCAACCGACGTAGGTCATTCATAACTGGGCTCCACGGCCGCGGCGGTGTGCGCACGGCAGCGCGAGCGAGCGAGCGAGCGAGTATACGCGGATGCATTCGTTCGTAGGTACATTCTATACGTACGTGCATGCACCGCGGGGGTTTATACGCGCATACGTCTGTATGTATATACGAGCCGGAGGCCGAGCACACGACGATTTATAGAATTGGAAAAACGATATCGGAAAAATAGTAAACTTTATTGATGAATCCCTTCCCGACCTCTAAGCGATATCACAACGAGCGCGAGTCGACCGCATTCCCGCGGTGCTACAGGTGGCATGTAAGCCAATCGACGATTCTCTCCTCTTTCTCCCCCTGCTCCTCCTCCTGCACCTCTACCTCCTCCTCCTCCTCCTCCCGTCTCCCCCGCGACAACCGCCTATCTCACCGCATACTCTTTGACTGACGCTTCCCTGTCCTTCGCAAAAATCCTCCGGATACTCGCCGAAAATGGAAATCGCTTCTGTCTGAAGCGCGGCGCGTGCCGCGGATACGCGCGAAGGGATTCAACTCGGGGGGAAGGAAGGGAACATTGAATTTCTTTCGCCTCGCTCGTTATATCAATTGAGCACTGCGTCACGAAGACGGAGTTTGTATCGCGCTTCCGTCGACCGGATGGCGCAATGTCCGATGCAGAAATGTAATCGGGTTCGCGATACGGTAACCGCGAAGGCGATTTTATTGTTATTGCGGATTGGCGCGAACTTCTCGCAAGATCGTGACAACACATTATCAGCTGCATCGCGCTATACTGCTGTATGTATTTTTTCACATTTCAGTGATTCGGTGACGGTCGGGTTTTAAACAGAGAGAAATCTGTTTTTACAAAAAAACACGTGCGAGTATTACAAATATGAAATAGATAAATGAGAACAAAAAACAGATGGTGCGGGCTTGTGTAATTTTTCGGAATCGTACGAAATAATTTCGCTTTTCGACGGGAAAAATATTTCGATCGGAATCAATTCCGATCGAAAAATTACATAATAACCACCTCGTAAAATATACATAATTTAATGAAGAAAAACTTGAAAATGTAATGATACGCGTTTTTCAATGTATATTTTTCAATGAAAAGGGAGTGCTGTGTTGTGTGTGACATTCACAAAGTGAAGTACTCGACGTGTATTCACGTTGCTCTGTCCGTCTCTGGAGAGCGCGACTTTTTGCCTGCAAACACGAAATATTCTAACAATCGCCGGGGAAACACCGGGACGCGAGTAACCCGATATTCGTTTCGAAAAATGATTGAGTCCCTCCCCTCCCGTTAAAAATTACATCCTCCGCGATATCACACACGTGCGCGCCATACGTACACGCATACATCTCCGGCGCAACGGCGAGTATCGACGCCGTTAAACAAGCCGCCGTATTATCGACCGGCGCCGCCATTCGATAACGATCGAATATTAACGTGAACTTTTCGTAACTGCTGTACCGAGTGGTACATTAGTGCCCGGGTAATGACGTAACACGTGAAAAGTTGCGTCACAATTCTGAAAACACAATAACGCGGTCTCTGTCCGTAGAGACATATTCCATATATTAACACATTATTTGTACATTTGTATAGAAACGGTTCTTAAAATTTCGATTTTTGACATCGCGTCATCTCGTTGCGAAACGTGTTAAAATTCAAAACGTGAAAGGATTGTGCAAACAAAGAGCGCGAGGGATATTACAAACACGTTTGATTCCGACAAAAGCGTTAGTCAAACTTTTTGAAGCGAATACACACACACGCACGCACGTAACACGGCAACTTGTAATTTGTATTTTATCAAAATTTATTGTGTAAGGTTTTTTGCTTTTATATATATATATATATATATATAGATCATAATATTCGCGACGAGGGAATGTTAGCGCCAGTACCGTAATTATTTACGGTAAAATGAACCTTCTGTTCCTCTTTGCCTGGCTTACGCGTGTAATATGAGGTATACATTTCTTAAGAATTTCACTATGCGTTATGTGTGTGTGTGTGTGTGTGTGTATGCGTGCGCAGATGTTTTACAACGGAGTAAGGAAGATGCCAGCGTTACACGGTCGTAATTATACAGCGTATTACATGTATATACTCTGTTTCTCCGACGAACCAATAAGATCCGAAATTTTATCCCGAGAGAGATCGTGATGTTGAAGAAATGCAGTCAAGGTAAACTCAACTACGTCAATATGTAGATTGTATTTTTTTAAATCAAGATTTAATATCGCATCAATTTTACACAGGTCAATATCATAGCAACATGAAATTCCAAACGCGAATACAAACAATTTGGAACTGCAACACTTCGAATAATTTCAATTGATTTTTTTGTCATCGGAGTTTATGCGCGAACGAGAATACACACACATGTAAGTATAAATATTAAAATATATTATGCAATATATATTAATGCGCACACTCACTCCTGATTACGATCTACATATATATCACAATCGAGTGACGGATATATATGTATGTTAATTCACGAGAGAGAGAGAGAGAATAAATTAATAATTAATTAATTCGCCCATTAGTGATCTATGACGAACGTAACGCGGCAGGTGTGCCTATGTATTTATCATGTATATATATATACATGTATACATCGGTAGTCGTTCGGTGATTATTATTCGAGTATATGCTTACGGTTATCTGAGAATGCGGCCACCTGCCGAACGGTGTAGCTTTACATCCCGGCCCTTCCGAAGAAGAAAAGGTTGAAGTATTTTTCAAGTTTGATAATTTTTTAATTATTCACAAATATGCGAACGAGGTCTAAAATGTTTTGCAAAAACCCCAGAAGACTTGAGAAGTAAAGATCAAGACGATCGGCGGATGTGTCCGTCGATTCGAGTAGATGATCGTCATTATCTTTTCCCCCTCGAATCCATGCGGGTACGTCGTTGATCGGACGAAATCGTGTCAGAATTACGTAGGGGGAGACACGCGGCGATACACGGACGATGCCGTAATGTGCTCGCAATACAATGAAAAGAGTTGACAATACAAGTCCGGATGTTATAGGTGTGAAAAGCTTTGATGAAATAGCATTTCAATTAATTACGTGTAGATGAATATAATCGAGTAATGTGTGAAAAAATATTAGTAAATAATCTTAGCAAGACTCTTGTATGGTAAATATTGTAAGATTTGCGAATTCAATTAATCAAAAATAAAACAATTTTATTTTCACTTTCACACAAATACAATGTCTTTTCTTACAATATTTCACTTATCATTCACTAAGTATCGCTTATGTGAGAAAAGGCGTGACCGAGATTACTGGTAAATGGCGAAGTACGACTTGAAGTACGCGAGTTGTATGTGTCTGACTGCTCGATTCTGACTGACTGCGGGCCTCGGTTCGAGGGCGCGTTTTATAGGGCCTGAGGTTGGTTATCGAAGGTTCTGGAATTTTCCTTATTCGATAACATTTTTGAGTGTTCGAAAACAACCTGGAATGTTCTAGACTCGATTTACGTGTTAGAATAAGCGTGTGGTCCTATTGATGGTGCGTCACGGTCCTATCGCTTGCGTCGTGGTCCTATCGCTATCTGCTGACCTAAGATAAATTCGGAAGGTTTCCCGAAACTACTTAGCAACTATAAACTAAACTAGACGATGGTCACAATATAAAGTAATCAATTGATCCACCACTTTTGTGTGGCATCGCTAAACTTGGTTAATTATCACCAAATTACTTGATATTAATCATCGAACAATTTTGTTATAAGTCGAGGTAATTCAACTTAACGCGAAGAATTTCTTTCATTATAGTTATTTTGCGACTATTATTATCAAACGACTGGCAACTATCATTTGAAGTCGCCATTAAAATGCATTATAAAACATTTCGTTTCGATTATAATAACACGCTTACTTATATCTGTTTAATTATAATTCAAATATCTTTTTCCATCGCAGAAAAGAGCTTACCCATGGTGCTACTCATTTTTAATTACGATATTACCATGTATCATAACTTCGTTAGATTTTGCCCTCATCATAAT